TCGATGCGTCCATGACCGAGTTGGTCGCCGGCTGGGGGCTGTGGTTGGCCTGACCCGCCATCGCTTGCAGTGCAGCCGCCGCGGCGGGCGACACGGCTGAGGCGGGCTTGAATCCAGAAGCGTAGTCGTGCATGGGAGCGCTCGAAGCAGGTGGAGGAAAGTAGTTGGGAGAGCGCGCGCTTCGGCTGAGCATGGGAGGCGGACTCATGGCTCCAGAAGAGCGACGCGAAGCATGCGCGCCCAGCAGGCTACCCTCGGACGAGCCCGTAGCGGATCGGACGTGTTGTCTGTAGTTGCGTCGAACGCTCGAGAGCGAGGGCTGCTCGCGCAAGCTAGGATGGGGAGCCACGCTTCTTGCAAGCGCCAGCTTGTCGACCGACGATTTACGGCTGTGCGAGGAACTGTAATTGGAAGCTGGTTGCCCAGCTAGGCTCGACCTTCCGGAGTTGGCACTGACGATCGAGTCGCCTCGCGACAGCGTCGAGTATGCCGGGCTGCCGGCAAACATGTTGGCATTGCTCATCTCTGGCGTGCGGAAGGGGCGACGCGTGTTGTCAGCACCTTCAGTCGGATGAGCGTGTCCGCTCAATGAAGAACGATTTGCCTCCGATGTCGGTCGAACGGCAGGTTCCTCTGTCGGCACGTTTGAGTCTGGTGATGGATCGGCCACACCTGGCCGGTGAGCGTCGATGGTAGAGGCTGATGAGACGATGCGCGACGCCTGAGAAGGCACCTCCGTTGCCGTAGCAGTCGAGTTGCGCAGCGACAGATACGTAAGCGCCGGACTGACCTGCAGATGTTCGGCGCCGTCAGCTCCGTTGGGAGGTGCCAAAGACTGCGTAGTTGGCTCTGCACCTTTGGCAGCGTCGGTCACGGTGAGCGCCGAGTCGGACGCAACGAGAGCGGGAAGCCGAGTTGCGGTTTGCGACTCGGGCAGGTCGGGCAAAAAGTCGGCGTGACCTCCGGGAAGCGCACCCGGCATGGTATCGGGGACGGGTGATGACGACAGGGTGAGATCACGGATGGGCGAGGACATGGCGAGACCGCCCTGTTCAATGTGCACAGCATCGAGCGTGGGTCCGGGAGCAGTGATGGTGGTGTCTGCGGCATCTTCATCTTCGGATGCTGCGTCCGCAGACGCGGCACCGGACGGCGCGAGTTTGTTGTCGGCAGCGCGGACGTTGGAGAGTGCAGAAGTGAAGGAGTTGGCGTCGCTGTCAACGGAAGATCGCTGCGCCTGGTGACTGGATAATGTGGCGTTGGTCCTAGCAGGCGAAGAACCGTTTTGAGAGGCGATTTGGGCGAACACCTCATCTAGCGCGGTGCTGACGCGTTTAAAGGCCTCGGGAGAAAGCGTGGTGAGCAGGTTGGAGTCTTGCCTGGACGACGAGCGCGAGGCCGATGCGGGGCCCGGAACTTGGAGCAAGGACGTCGAGGTGGGACTATCGCCTGCAGTGGATGCAGGTGCAGCCGATGCATCCGTAGATGTGGGCTGCGAAGCCGCCTCGTCGACTGCAGCGACTGGAGTATGCGCCTGTTTCGAAGCAATTGTGTCGTTGGACTTGGAGTTGCTGCGCTTCCTCTGTGCATTGCGAAAGTGTGCGTGGTCGCGGTCGGAGCTTCTACCGGTGAAGGAGCTGCCACCGGGTTTCCTGGATGGGGACCAGGCGGGGGAAGCGGTGCTGGTGGAGGCGGTGGTAGCGCGATCGTAGCTGTTGGACAGGTCGCCGAGGGATTCCGTCAAGCTGGAGAGCTGAGGGGCGGTGTTGGTGAGCGAGGTGCCCCAGGAGCCAAAGCCGTCGGTACCTGCAGCATAGCCATTGCGCCAGGAATCCACGGTGGCGGAGGCGACGGCCTGCTCGAGATCAAAGTCGCGCCCCTCTGCACGCGCCTGTGCCTTGAGCTGTTCGATGATGGCATTCTCCTCGTCTTCGGTGAGAAAGTGGATGTCGTTGGCCATGCCCGAGCCGATGGCGAGGTTGGCGGCGCGTGCACGAGCGCGTTGAGCACGCAGATGGGCGCGCATTGCGTCGGGTGTGACGAGCGATCCATCCGGCGCCCTGAGCAGCGTGAATCTACGCGTGAGGTGCGGCATGATGAGCGACTGGCGAAAGTCGGAGGTAGGTGGGAGGACATGGTCGAGGCTTGGCTGCTGTGCGAGTTGCGGCGACTGCAGCTGTCCGACTTGCATGCCGCGTTGCTGACGTGGACTGTGCGGCGAGCGCGGAGAGCCGGGTGCGGCGGATGCAGCGGCAATAAAGAGGCCGGGTCGTGGAGGAAGTTTCGATGAGGATGGAAAGGCGCCGTAGTCGGTTGGTCCGCCTTGATTGGAGGCGGCGGCGGCAGCGGCGGCCTTGCGTTGCTGACGCTTCTTGAACGGATTGATCATGGTGGATGGCAGCTCTCAACGCGCGGCCGAGGATTTGCCGATGCAGGCGCGGAAGAGCCGAAAGGCGCCGGTTCGAAGCTGGGCGAGACGGAGCAGAGAAAGTGTGACGGAGGCGCTAACGCGATTTCTTCTGCATGTGTGCTGGCGATGCGGACCGAAGAGCGCGATAGATGGTGCAGTGCAGACCGGATGGTGGTGTGAGAAGGAGGCCTTCGAAGAACGGAAGTGCCGATGGAGTCTCGGCTGTCGAGACGCTGGTGCGAGCTGCGGATGGAAAGCTGGTGAATCGTGGTGAGCCGAAGCCGCCTTTCTGCCTCTGCACTCATGCACTGCCTCGCTAGCGCCTAAAAGAGTGTGAGTTGCCGGTTCCAGCAGTCGTGCTTTTTTTTTTTGACTGCTAGGCGTCCCTTTTTTGGGCGCGTGGCAGGCACCACTTGCATCGACCCGCCTGGCAATGCAGCCACAGCCCACGGGGCAACCGTTGCTATGCACTCTCCATCAATCGTCGATTTAGTGGGCATGCAAGCCTACCATCCTGTATGGCATCAAAACGTCGCGTCGAGATGCAGAGCCATGAACCTTGTATGAGCCTCGCTTGGTTGAGCCACAGCGCCCTTGGTCTCTGGCGGGGGTTTCAGCGCCTTCGCTTCCTCGGCGAGAAGCTGCATCCGAAGAAAAACGGACGAAAATCAGGCAACAAAAATGGACAACCAAAAATCGGTCCTCAATTCATGCCACCAGAGGAGGCGGCCTCCTTTGCCTTACGTCTCGATGCATGCTCACCTCGAGCAACCCACCTCATATCTGGCATCATCTGATCTCGACAATGACAAATCCCACGGCTTGGCAACAGCACCGTGATATCCAGATGAGGTAACCACCAGCTGGAGGCAACTCTGTGGGGGGAACCAAGCAACGACTCGATACCTGCGTTCCGGCGGCATGTGTGAAGGCTTTCAACGCAGCCACAAGCTCGATTCCCAGACCCTTTCTTTTGTTTTTTTAATTCCGCTGCCTCGCCGAGCCACCGAGCCGCGCGCGGACCCAAGCACGGACAGCCCGATCGTGGTCTCATCGGGAATCTAATTTTGCGAGAGAACGACGATCGCCCCCGATGAAATGCAGGCAGATGCACGCGCCGGCGCAGCCGCCCAACTCGACAGCCGCACACCGAATTCAAACGGCTCGCGTCATGGACGAGGTGACATGGCGCTGGTGTTGGTCGAAGCGTGGTTTGCTTGATCCACCGTCCGCTCATGCATCGTCCGCCATGCTGCCCGGCACATTCGCTTGGCAGAAGCGGGCCCGTCCGATGGATCTGTGTCTCTCCTGTCGCTCTCATCCGAGACATTGGGACAATGTCCGTGCGTGTCACTCCGATGATCGTCGCTTACCGCCGCTTCGTCAAGGTGCGTCCGCGTAGAATCTGCTTCGCCAGACGCTCGGTTCGATGGCTCTTTGCACAATCCGGCACAGCAAGCGCGCTGATCACTCGATAAGCTCGCAAGGTAACGGACGGGCACGCTCGTGGATATGAGTCAGTCTCAGTCGCCGCCCGTGTCTCAGGGACCTGACCTTTCCGACTGAAACACTGCCACGCACCAGCTAGCCGGTTGTACAACGCTCTGCAACAATCGACACTATGTAGTCATAGCTGAATCGTCCACATTTCTGATGTAGCCAGACTCCTCATAGACGTCTGCGCATTGGCGTCATGGTAAAGGGGGACAACGCGGTTCGCTAGCATCCATCCTGCTCCCTGCGGGCCTGCTGACGAAGAGGTGCGGCACGAGAAAGCGTGGTCTGCAGTCTGCCGATTGGTTCAATGCTGCTCACCGGCTGAAACTTCGCTGCACAAGTGCATGCTCGATATGGACAAAGCACGACCGGTGGGTTTGCTCCGTTGCCGGGCCATGCACCTTGCACCGGACGCCATGTGCGCGATCTGGTATGTGCATCTCACTGCGCCGCTCAGTTCCGGTTGAGCAACACTTCTACTCTTGGCGAGACGCTGTTTCGCGCCCTCAGCTTGCCATTCGAGTCTCCCTTTCACCGACAGAGCCTTCCAGCGCCTCTCTGGTGTCTGCTAGCTTGGGCCCGGACGCCACTTCGCTGCCCCGGGCCGGATGAGGTGGATGTGCTTATAATGCGCTCCCCTCCGTCCTCCCCTTCCCCCCTTCCCTCTTTCTTTTCCCAGATCCGTCTCAGTCCCTTTGCTTGCCCTTGCCTTTGCGTTCGCTCCTTCCGCTCCTCTTTCCTTTCAGATCCAACTTCGTACTATCCTTTCCCAACCGTGAACCCTGGTGGTCACATCCCTTTCCGCTCTCTACCGCAGACAAACACTTTTCTTTCTTTCCTTTCCGTCCTACTCCGTGTTCAACTGCACACCCTCCTCCAACCGCTTTCGTCAATTTCGGCTTTATCCTCAGTTCACTCGCTAAAAAGACTTCCTGTGGAAGACTTGATCCTATCGAGCCAGCGAGCTTTGTCCTATTCTAGCTAGTCTAGTAGTTCAAGCTTTACCCTCTAAGCCCTTATTTCGTCGTTCAGCGCTCCTTCCTCTCCGAACCACCCTCTTCAGGCTACCGACTCGTCTTAGATCCAAGCAGCCATGTACTTCACTCAGGCTCTTACCGTTGCGCTTTCCCTTTCGGCTGCTGCCGTCAAGGCTGCCCCCGTTCCCGGCAGTCAGAAGGACACCTCGAAGCTCGTGCTTCGTTCGGTCCACGAGAGCCAGATCGCCGTCCGGAGCGTAGGCATCAGCGATGCCGTCAGCTCGAGGCCGCTTCAGGCTCGCGGTCTCGACCCCGTCACCCACTTGCGCAGGGCCATCGACCTTCGCTTCGGCAACGTCGACCCCAAGGCGCGCGACCTTGCCATGGTCACCGAACTTCACCGTCGAGGCCTGCTCGACCAGCTCATCGCAGCTCTACGCGACCTGATCATCACCCTTCTTGGCAAGGGAGGTGGAATGTCGCGCCGACAGGCGAGCACCGAACAGCTCGAGCAGGCCATTCACCAGGTCACCTGCATCCTCGATGCTCTCTTTGGCAACACCGACAGCGACGGCACATGTGCCGACGTGCTCGGCGGTGCGGCCAACTCAACCAACACCACTGGTGCTGCTGCCAACCGAACCGCCTCGCCTCTCGAGAAGAAGCTCTCCGCTCTCGGCGCTCAGCTCCGCAACGGAACGAGCATCACCGAGATGGTGGACGACTACATGGCCGGCAAGCAGGGCAGCGCCTCCACCGCTGCTCAGGCTTCCAAGGCTGTGCCCGCTGCCGCTAAGGCAACCGGCACCAAGAAGGCCGACAAGAAGGACAAGGCCAAGCACCACCCTGCCAAGAACGCCACCTCGACCGACACGACTGCTTCCGCGGCCAAACAGCAGCAGAAGCGCTCCACCGAACTCCTCGAGGCCCGACAGGACTCGGGCCTCACTGGTCTTCTGGTGGCTCTGCGTGATGTTGTGGACACAATCCTCAACACGCTGCTGCCCATGTCTTCGCGCGCCGAGAGCGACAACTCGACCTCTACGACGTCCTCCTCGGGCAAGTGGCCTCCTCAGGACTGCCCTCCGCCCACGCCCAACGATGGCATGTACCGTCCCGGCTGCCCCGGGTACGGTCGACGTGACATCGCCGTGCGCAGGAGCATGGACCAGCTCGGCGAACGCGACGCCAACATCCTGCAGAGCATCATGCCAATGATCCAGATGCTCCTCGAGCAGCTGCCCGCCCTCATCAAGTCGATGGCCTCCGACCCCAACGCCACATCGACCGTCACCTCTGTGACGAACGCCGGCACCACGACCACTGGCCCCACCGCAGCCGCCGATGATGCCTTCTCGCAGATCATGTCTGCGCTCGGCTATGGTGGCGAGGCGGCCAGCCCCAGCCCTTCCTCCGGCTCCAAGACCGGCTCTGCTGCCAAGGCGCAGTCGACCGGTGCTGCTGCCGGGACCAATGGCACCAGCTCGGCTGCTCGCAGCGCGGCCAACCTCAGTCAGAACTTTGCCCGCGATCTGCTCGATGGCGATGGCATGAACCTTGGCAAGCGCCAGACAGGCACCGGTGGTGTCACAGATGGTGTCACCGACGCCCTTGGCAGCGACAACTGCGACGCCAGCGGCAACTCTGGCGGCATCAATGTCAGCCTGCTCAACAACCTGCTCAATGGTCTGCTGAGCGGCCTGGGCCGACGCAGCGAAGACTCGATCCCGCTCGAGTTCTTCAAGCGCCAGGCGACCACAGACGACGGCGACACTGTCATCGGCAGTGGCAACTGCAGCGCCAGCAACAACACTGGCGGTGTCAACCTCAGTCTTCTCGACAACCTGCTTAACGGCCTTCTTTCGGGCATCGGCCGCCGTGACGTCCCCGCCGAGGGAATGGTCTCGGTCGAGGCGCTGAAGCGGGACGCGGCCGAGCCGCTCGCTGAGCGTGCCGACTTTGCGCCCGTGTGGACCGAGATCAAGAAGATCGGTAACGAGCACTTCCACATTGCTCGCGATCTCTCGAACACCGAAGAAGCCGCCACTGCCGCCAAGCGCGATGCCAACACCGACGATGCACCCGACTTTACTCCTGTCTGGGAAGCCTTCCGCGACCTTGTAGACAGCGGCTACTCTCAGGCGGCTGAGGGTTCGTCTGCCCAACGTCGCGACGCCGGTGCTCCGCTCAAGCTCGACTACAAGCCTCTGATGAAGGCCGGCATCAAGTTCGGCAAGCAGGTGTTCAAGTCGTTCACTTCGCAGCACGCCAAGCGCTCCACCGACTTCAAGCCCTTCGTTGATGCGGCTAGCAGCTTTGCTGCCACCGCGATCAAGGAGATGTGGAAGTCGTCGTAAACACGATCCAACTTCAAGTTGTAGCCAACCCTCTCCCCCCCTCCCTCCATTCTCCTCCCTCATGTACAAGTGGCTGAAGCCATGTGGATGATATCCGCGACCCTCGGGAAGGGTCGAGCGGAGCGAACTGTTTCAAATGCAAAGCAAGGGGCATTCGAGCAAACATTTTGCGGCCTGTGTAAGAGCGTGTGCAGACGAGACCCTGAGAAGCAAATGCGGATGCGAAGATTGATGTCCGAGCGCAATGAGTGTAAAGCGCAAAGCGATCTGATGCAGGAACGGCACAAACCCCGACGCAGGAAGTTGGTCGAATCTCACGCGGACGGATGCCATCCGATACGGCCATGTGATGACCGAGCCGCAGCTTGAGCGCGGAAGCTTCCGAATGGCGTGCTGCATGGCATATGCCGACATCGGGCCGAACGCGGACCCTGGATATGAAGCGTGGTCCAAGGTTCAAACCCGGTGCGTCGGGGCATCCGAGACAATCTTTTACCGATGTGAAGTACAGCGGCAAGCCTGGGAAAAAAGAAAACAAGAACACCTCGACAAGCCAAGGGCGGGGTTCGGCTGGACGCTGTTCGGATGCACCCGCCCAGGCCAACGTCACCGAGTGTGCTGCAGCATCTCGCTACAGTATCTGAGCCGCAACCTGTCAACAATTTTCGACGTACACGCCCGAATTCCCGATGGCCGTGGGTGTCGAGCCGTGCGTGCCGCGGCGAGAGAGTTGTCCATAGAATCGGATCGCCCGACACGGATGTGACCGACGACAAGAAGCCGCCAGTCAGTGCGTGGTTGTGTCAAGGTCGAGAGATGGACACTACAACACAGCCGAAGGCAGATACCGCTTGCCCACGTCGGATCTGATGGTGGATCTGTCGTGCGTCTACCGATGCCGAGAGCCGCCCCAACGTCGCTGCGGAAGGAGCAACACTGCACCCGAGCTGCCATGCGAGCAACAGGTGAAACCTGCACCTGGCCTCCTGCAGCAACGAGATTCGCAACGGCGACGCGGTCGGATGGCCAAAAAATCGCTCGCGCCCTCGCGTCTCGGACCTGCAGCAACGCAGCGCCAAACCGCCGAAAGCGCATCCGCCCGTGAAATTGTTCCGGCTCGACCCTTTGCCTGCACAGGCAGCTTTAGCCTTGCATGGCTGCACTTTGCACGAGCACCTTTGCTCTTGACGCTGAACCTCGACCTGCTTCACGGCTCCGCCAAACTGCTGTGACCTGCATGCTTCACCGACAACTCACCTCCTGACTGTTCCGCAGGCAGGTCATCTGCCCTTTGCCGATCCAACTCAGTGTCGGAGTCGCTCCCGAAACCCCACCAACGCTTCTTCTCGCATCCGTGCCGAGTTCGATTTGGTGTCCCGTGGGAGCGGCGCGCTTCCTCGCCTCCGAACTCGAGTTCCCACAAGCCTTTACTTTCTCCACGACGCTTGACGCTGAGCATCGTGACTCGCGACCATCATCACCACCACCATCGGAAACACCGGCACCCGTGCCTGTTCGCGCAATCACCCCGTGGCGCTCGCTTGCAGCGTCGTCGAGCTCCTTCTCTCGAAACTAGTCGCGCACAATCTCATGTCCTGGCTCAAGGCTCGGCCACCACACAAACATTCGGGACTTTCTATCTCAAGCGAGAACAGTGGATCCGCAACGCGAAGGAGCACAGCATCAACCCCTCGCCCATCTATCAAATTCACACTGCCAGCGACGCAGCACGTCGCAAGCCTTGCATCGCCAACATGAAGGAGGCACGCGTCGTCATTATGGGAGGTACGTCTTCGTTCAGCGCTTGACTTGTTCCAAGCTACTCTGTGTCGGATCAAGCTAACATCGTCTCCTCTCCCTCGGTTCCGTGGTCGCAGGCGGAGGAGTCGGCAAGTCGGCGCTGACCGTGCAGTTCGTGCGCAACGTGTTCGTGAGCACGTACGACCCGACGATCGAGGACACATATCGCAAAATGCTCGTCATCGACGGCCAGCAGTGCATGGTTGAAATCCTGGACACGGCAGGCACCGAGCAGTTTCTGGCGCTAAAGGAGCTCTACATCAAGTCCGGACAGGGCTTCATCCTCGTCTTCTCGCTCACGTCGCTAGCCAGCGTCAACGAGCTCGGCCCCCTGCGCGAGGCGATCGTACGCATCAAGGACACCACCGCCATCCCGCTCGTGCTGGTTGGCAACAAGTCGGATCTGCGCGCCGATCGTCAGGTGCCCAGAGAGGTCGGCACCAGTCTTTCGAAAGCATGGGGCAACGTCCCCTTCTACGAGGCGTCGGCGCGCAAGCGCATCAATGTCGACGAGATCTTCGCCGACGTCGTGCGCCAGATTCGCGCTTTTCAAGCCATCAATTCCAGACCAGGCACCCGACCGGGCACCTCCTCGGGCGCCTCGGGCAAGCACGGCTTTGGCGCCAACGGCTCTTCCTCCCATTCCGGCTCCAAGGACTCCAAACTCGCAGGCAGCAGCTTTGGCACCTCTTCCAAAGCGCGCGATCGCAAAAAGTGCGTCATCATGTAGCATTTGCGCAGGGCAGCTCGTCTCTCGGCAGACGTTGCGGCGCGGACGAGCAACCCTTGGATACCCCCGCTCCGCGTAGCGAGCTGGAAGGAACTCGATAGATATACCCCATTCTCGCGGACCCTTTTGTTCCGCCAGCTTAGCGGCGGCTCGGCTTGCAAATGGCCGCCGATGCACGCCTTGCTTGTGCGCAATGACCGCGCAATCCCGCGCATTTCTGTTCCGACTCTCAAACTGTGCTGTGCATGTGTTGGGGGCTTTGAGTCCCCGACTGAGGATGCTGAACAGGATAGTGAAGCTGCAACCATGAAGTCTGTGTGTTTCCTCCGGCAGGGGCGTGCGCCTCCACTATGCGGCTGCAGGTGCAAAGTCCGGATTTCGGCCAACGCGTGCGGGTGCTGAGTGGAGCAAAGCCGCGCATGCAGCCCAACTTCACACACACCCTTGAGAATTGCTGAAATTGGACAAGGCAGCCCAGCAGTGCAGCAGGACAACGCGTCAATCGGGGCAGGAGTGATCGAGGCGCACCCGGCCACAGTGTGGAAAATGCACAGACGTTGACGAAGCTTCGGCCCACACCAACACTCCCTACTCCACACCCCAACGCACCATCCCTTGTCGGACCCTCGCACTTCTCCATCCGCCATCGCCATCGCAGAATCAGAACGGACGGCGAAGACCGGGTAGCACACATACGACCAAGCTATCCTACCAGCCGCACGAGCAAAGACACCGCCCTCATCCCACTCCACATTCCGGTCTAGATAGAAAGGTGGCATCATGTCGCGAAGGTACGATTCGCGCACGACGACCTTCTCGCCCGAGGGTCGTCTATACCAGGTGGAATATGCGATGGAGGCCATCTCGCATGCAGGCACGGTGATTGGCATTCTGGCCAAGGACGGCATCGTGCTTGCCGCCGAGAAGAAGGTGACGTCCAAGCTGCTCGAGCAGGACCAGTCGTCAGAGAAGATCTTTACCGTGTCGGACAACGTCATGGCTGGAGTGGCGGGCTACACGGCCGATGCCAACTCGCTCGTCAACTATGCGCGCAATGCGGCCCAGCAGCACCTGGCGAGCTACGACGACGACATGCCCGTCGAGCAGCTTGCACAGCGTCTGTGTGACTACAAGCAGGGGTACACGCAGTTTGGTGGTCTGCGTCCATTTGGTGTGTCGATCCTGTACGCCGGATACGACGACCACCACCACTTCCAGCTCTACCACTCGGATCCCTCGGGCAACTACTCTGGCTGGAAGGCCACGTGCATCGGCAACAACAACGGCACCGCAACCTCGCTGCTCAAGCAGGACTACAAGGATGACATTGGCATCCAGGATGCCATGGCCATGGCGGTCAAGATTCTGAGCAAGACCATGGACTCGACGTCGCTCGACAGCGAAAAGCTCGAGTTTGCCACGCTCACGCTCAACCCCACCACGCACAAGCCGCAGACCAACATCTTCAAGCCCAACGACATTGACCGTCTTCTTCAGAAGCACGGCCTCGCAAAGCCAAAGGATGCAGAGGAGGCGGCCGCACAGGCCACAGCGAGCGGCACAGACTCGAGCGCCATGGCCGTCGATGCATAGTCCAACCTTCGCCTTGTACCATTAAATTGAGACTAGCTCGTTGATCGACCCGGAGCGTGTGGTGTGACTGCTTGCAAAGACGCGTTTTGTGATTACAAGAACGGAAAACGAAACGACTACTGAGACTTTCCGCCGTCGTTGCCGTCCTTGTTGCCGCCAAAGATGTCCTTTTGGCTGTTCATGATGGCCTGCAGGCGTTCGGGCGACACGTCGACACCTGCATTCTTGAGCTCCTCCATCACTGCGCAAGCACGAGCAAACAGGCAAGGGTGGTCAGTCTTTCTGCCCGTCAACTCAAATCGGAGCGCCAGACCAAAAGCGTGGGAGAAAGCTTACCTTTAGTAGTGGCGTCACGCACCTCCTGGTTGCGCGCGAGCTTCATCATCTGCCACATGCTCGGCTTTTCGCCGGTATGCAGGTCGACGCCGTTAGCCTTCATGACCTCGACGAGGTTTGTGATGGCCGAGAGTGCCGAGGGCGAATGCGCGAGCTTCTCAAAGCCGGGTGGCAGCTGCGGGAACGAGTTGGGCGAGGCGGACGAGGCCCATCGTCGAGCGGAGACGGGCGAGCGCAGCGCCACGGAGCGTGCGGCAGGCGACGATCGGAGCGAGGCCGTGAGTGTTCGTGTAGCTGCGCGATATGCCGACATTTTGGACGATATGTGTATGCGTGATTGGAAAGGGAAGTCCCACTGTGATGAAACGGAGAGGAGGGTGGTGCGAGGATGAGTTGAGTCAAAAATGGTCGGCGGCCTCCACCTCGAGAATCTCTCCGACTTCCGAGCTGACAGATGCACTTTTTTGAAGCTTCCTAACGGAACCCTGACACGACTCCAACCACGAACAACCCAAGCTCGAACCATCAGAGGACACTCAGACGCTGGCCAGCGAGGGCAGGGAAAGAGAGATGTCGCTATCTCTGCGTATGCTCTGCCGTCGCGGCCCGCGAGAGGTGTTGAGCATGTCGTGCCAATCGAGGCCGCTCGTCCAACCACCGCGCTGTGCCGCTTCATGCGAAAGGCTAGCTCGCAGACACTTCACCTCGACAATCAACGCACGCTCAGCACCCGGCCCCGCATCTTCAGGCTCGAGCCTGAAGCCGTACTACGTGACGACACCTATCTTTTATGTAAACGCAGATCCACATATCGGCCATCTGTATTCGGATGTTATCGCCGACGTTCTCGCACGCTACCATGGGTACATGAACTCCGGCTACTCGGCATACGATCGCAACGGACGCCCTGTCAGCGCAGACTCATACGGACTGCAAGCCCGTGTCGCTCAGCAATCGCCGGTATCGCCAATATTCAGCACGGGAACGGACGAGCATGGGCTGAAAGTGCAAAAGGTAGCCGAGGCGGCGGGCGAAGACCCAAGGGCCCTTTGCGATCGCATCAGCCAGCGATTCCGCCACCTTGCAGACGCAGCCAACGTGGACTTTTCCACGTTCATCCGCACCACAGATGCGGACCATGCAGTGGCGGTCGAGCATCTGTGGCGCACGCTGCGCGAACGCGGCCACATTTACCAGGGCAGCCACGAGGGGTGGTACGCGGTGTCGGACGAGGCGTTCTATCCGGAGACGCAGGTGCGCAAGGTGGTTGTCGACGGTCAAGAGCAGATGCAGAGCATCGAGACCGGCGCCAAAGTCGAATGGAGCCAGGAGGTCAACTACAAGTTCCGCCTCTCAGCGTTTCAGCAGCCGCTCATCGACTGGCTCCGTGCGAACCCGACCGCCATTCAGCCTGCGCAACGACACGCGCAGGTCTTGCAGGAGATCGAGTCTGGCTTGGCGGATTTGTCGATCTCACGACCACGCTCGCGTCTCTCATGGGGCATCCCTGTACCCGATGACGCGGATCACACGATCTACGTGTGGGTCGACGCACTCACAAATTACCTCACCGTCACGGGCTATCCAGCCTGGGCGAATGATGCGAGCAAAGAGTCGTCGGCTGTGGAACGTAGTGCATGGCCTGCCGATGTGCACGTGGTGGGTAAGGACATTCTGCGCTTCCATGCGATCTACTGGCCCGCGATGCTGCTCGCTGCGGGGTTGCCTCTGCCAAAGACGATTGTAGCACATTCGCACTGGACCATGAACCGTGCCAAGATGTCCAAGTCGCGCGGCAACGTCGCCAACCCGTTCGAGGCCATCGACATGTTTGGCGTCGACACGCTGCGCTTCTTCCTCATGCGCGTCGGCGGCAACCTCGGCGCGGACTCGGATTACAATCCTGCCGTGCTTGTCGAGTACCACCGCAAGTACCTGCAGGGCCAGCTTGGAAACCTCGTTTCGCGCATCTCGGCGCCCAAGATTCATGCCGGCCTCGCCGATTCTCCGCGCGATGAGAAGGGCGTGCTGCTCCGGCCCTCCGCCGAAGATGTGCGCGCGGTGCTCGATCAGGAGACGTACGCGCTGTGCGAGCGGCTCGAGGAGGAGCTCAAGCAGCTGCCCGGCAAGGTCGACGAGCTCATGCAGGCATTCGAGCTAGCCAAGGTACTCGAGCTTGTATTGGAGACCGCTGTAGGCACGGCCAACGAGATGGTGCAGCGCATCGAGCCGTGGAACGCCGCCACCCCTGTTGCTGCCGTGAGAGAGGCCGTCGTTCTCACGACCGAGACCCTCCGCATTGCTGCGCTGCTCCTGCATCCGTTCATGCCCACCAAGATGACTCAGCTGCTCGATGCACTCCTCATCCCACAAAACCTCCGCACGAGTTCAAAACATCTCGTGAGGCAAGACGTCAACGGCCGCCTCGTCTCCCACGCCCGCTGGCGCGACCCGGCGCAGCCCAAGGTCGAGCCACTCTTTCCCAAGATCCAGCCCGACCCGACAACAAAAGCCTGAACGCAACCTCATCCCTGCGATCCTACCACTCCCCTCGGCAATGCAGACAGAAAAAAGGGGCCAGATCAAACGTCGTTTGTGAATTTCCAAAGATGGTGAAGCAGTGTTCATGAGTGTATGCGTGTGAAATGGACTGAAGCGAAGCTCGAGATCGGTCGAATCGGTCGACGACCCGCAGCGGGTGTTTAGAGGACAAGGAACGCGCCGGCGAAGAGAGCTGCTGCCGAGGCTGTGGACACGGCGAGCAGGGCCGATGGAAGAGTCGAGCGCGCGCCCGACGTGGAACCGCCGCTGCCAGAGCCGCTGGAGCTGCCGCTGCCGCTTCCGCCGTTGCTCGAGCCAGCAACCAGCGACGGGGTTGACGAGGTCACGCCACCCGAGGCCGAAGGCGTGGGCAGGCTACCCCCGCCCACGACGCCGGTTGCGGTCGCGCCCGATGCAAAGGAAGAGGCGCCAGTGGGGAAGGGCAAGCCGCCGCCGATCGAACTCATGGATCCCGTGGCAGACGACGTAGCCTGAGGCGTCTGCGACGAGACAGCGTTGGCAGTGACCGAGACGATCTGCGCCTCGCTGCCCTTGAGACTGGCAAATCCGATGCGGCCGGTGCCGTCGTAGACCTGGAAGACGTTCTTGAGGAACGAGTCACCCACGATCCACTGCGGCACGCCGTACTGCGACGAGCCGAGGTCGATCTCAAAGACGGCGCCGAGACAGGTCTGGGAGGTGGTGAAGGGGTACGAGCCAAGGTTGAAGTCCTGCGGGTTCATGGACCAGCTCTTGCCGCCGAACGTGAGCTGAATGTTGAGGTTGGCACTGCAGGGGAAGAGGTAGTATCCGGGCATTTTTACAGAGGCGGCAGATCGCGAGCCACTGATCTGCGAGTAGAAGGCACGAACGGCCGAGGCGGGACCACCGATGAGCGTGGTGCCCGTGTCGATGGCAGCAAGCGTGTTGCTGCCGATGCGGGCCGAGTTGCCGTTGACCGTGATGCCGTCGAGCGGGATGGTCCAGTAGCCGAGTCCCTGCGTGTTCTGGAGGTTGTTGGGGATGTTGGTGTAGCTGATATCGCCGCTGTACTGGTTCGAGTCGATCTGTCCAAGCGTGAAGACGCCGCCGGGGCTCTGGATGTCGTTGATGTTGGGGTCGTTGGGGTTAATGTTGTCGATGTTGCGTGCGAGCTGGAAGGTGAAGACGTTTTGCGAGAGCACGCCCTGCTTTTCGAGCACCTGCCAGAAAGGCGTGGCGCCGCTGGTCGAGAGCGACTGGAAGCCCATGCCCATGATGCCCGAGGTCGGGTACTCGACCGTGTTGGAAGCCACGGCGGCAGCCTCGGCGAAGGTGAGGTTGTTGACCGTGTAGCCGGCGAGCGAGACCTTGTCGGCGGCGAGGGTGCCACGAACGGCACCGGTGCCGTAGGTGATCTGGAAGGGAGCGCTGGAGCCGACGTAGGTGGAGGAGCTCTGGGCGTTGAACTTGTTCAGATCCGAGTCGCAGTTCTGCGCAGTGCCGCACTGCGAGTCTACGAGCCAGAAATCGGCCGAGCCCGTGTCGAGCACCACGTTGAAGTTTTGAGCGGGTGTTCCGACCGAAAGTTGGGCGAAGTAGTAGCTGTCAGAAGCGTAGAATGAACGGTCAGCCTCCGAAATGAAATGAAAAGATGGAGATCGTGCAGCGGACGTACCTGTCAGGCCCCACATCGGTAAGTCCGATGGTCTGACGCTTCTGGTGGGCGGCGTTGGCGCCGTACTTGGCCTTCATGATCTCGCCCTGTCGGAAGGCCCAGCTCCTCATAACTTCGGGGTCGCGCTTGCTCACGTCCGGGTGCAGAGCGCCGTGCCTCTTGTACATGGGCACCGAGATGGATCCAGCCTGCGAGGCATCGTTGAGCGATCGGCTGGCGAGTCGGAAAGCCTTGGCCTCGGCCAGATCGCCCCGGAATTCAGTGTTGGCCTGCAGCGGAAGCACATACGCCTGGACGGACGAGGCGCACACCAGCGCCGCCGTCACGGTTGAGAGCAGAGCCTGGAACGCCATTCTGCTGGTATCGTCTCTAGACGAGATGGGTGGGCCGTAGGGAATGCTCTGAGGGGGGAGGTGAAGACAAGTCTATCGATCTATGACTTGGGGCGACGAGAATGGCGGGCAGGAGGCAATGGTAGTAAGAGCGGATGGAGCGCTTCCAGGAGCTCAACTGAATGCGATGCAATGTTGGATGCGCCCCTGCCGCGACACTGTTGCTAGGCTCCGCATAGGTGTCGATCGGAAGGGTGGAGGGGGAGAATTCAGCCGAAGCGCAAGGTGGACGGCAGCCGAAGCGACTCGGCGGAGTCTAAGCGAATGCGCGGTGGCTGGCTGTGCAGGCAGAATCTGGCCGGCCGCGCTCACCGAGCGTCCATGAGGGCGGTCGAGGAGGATGGAAAATTGGGGCCCAGCAGCCGTGGAAGGGTCTATGAAAGTCAATGCAAAGCGGCTGAGGCAACGACGCCCTGACGACGCACATGCCCATGCACGCATGAGCCGAGCAGCAAGCGGCCGCAACAGGCTGGCGGAGCAGTGGTTGCATCAAAAACGTGAAGCACTTCAAGGCGAGGCGGGGTTGGGAAAGCCGGCACGGATGGGGGATCCAATTGCCCCATGTCAGAAGGTTTTAGCTGAGACATGCCGAGCAAAGAGTCGGCGACGAAAAATCCACAGGATCGTCCAATTCAACTTGAATGGTCAGGCTCTAAAGAATCCGAGCGTTGGACTCCTGAAGCTTGTCGTCGACAACACACCTGAGCTAGCCTCGACCCTCAGATACAGTAGGTGTTGCCAATCTCAACTCGACGTCGACGAGACCCGATGCGACCATCAGCAGCAAACTGAATGCGTCTGGCAACGACCAGAGTGGGGGAAATCGAAGCCAAGTTTGGGACAGGCTGTGAAGGCCTCGCCTCAGCTCGCTTAGACTCTCGATCCTTCGTGCAGAGATGACGACACGGGCGAGACAGCATCAGCCTCGAGCCTCTTTCTTTCGATTTTGGGCCCCCCCACTGCATCCGCGCGCCAATTTTCCACACGCCTCGCATCCAGTTCAACACGTTGGAAGCAACGCAGCTGCAAGCGAGCAGAGCTGCGTGGCTCTGCTCAGTGATCTCTCGGAGAAGCCGAAACGGTTGGACGCCAGCACTGGACCCTCACTTTTTTTTGGAAAGCTCGCAAAACCGCACGAATCCCCGTCTTGCTTGCCGAAGGCCAAGCATTGCCAAGGGCCGCCCGCTTCGCTCTATCACATCCCCAAGGCGCCCTTCTGCAAGGCTCGCCCTGCATGCATGGATGCTGCTTGCGACTCATCTGGTCTCGAGCAAGAAGACAAGGTCATGGCGCAACACAGGCTGGACTGAGGTGCGGATGGTCGTATTGCGTGAATGCTCATTCTTCCAGAGGCGCTTCGTCCCAAGGACCCGGGATGCGGTCGAACCAGCCGCGCGCCTGGCCGTTTCGTTCCATTTTCCAGTGCCAGACGCGCCGCATGAGCTCCTCGGACGGCAGCTTGGCTTCGCCCAGCCAGTCGGCCAGCCAGGCATCGAGCACCTCCATATGACGTGCGGCGATCGGCGGGGGAAGACGCTCTTCAATCTCGAGCACGGTGAGCGCCACGTGCGTCTCGGACGGTTTGAGCTGCAGCTGTCGCATCCATGCTAGCACATCGATGAGCTCTTGACGCAACAGCCGCGCGTCGGAGACGTGGCCGGGAAGATGCTGCATCGCGAGCAGGAGGCGCAGGTAGTGCTCGAACAGCTTGCTGGTGAACACGAGCGCGCCCAAGTCGTCCGGGCTCACCGCAGTGCTGCTTTGCTTGACGCCAAACGCAGATGAGAACCACTGCTCCATCTTGGCACCCACCGCGTCGTGCGACAGGATCCAGCCTGCTGCCCCTTGCGCTTGTAGCTGCTCCTGCAGAGGTGCGCGGAAGTCGACCAGCTCAGGGTGCTTTCCGAACAGCATCGAGCGGAACACCTGGCGTCCAAAGCTTGCACCCTGGCTCGACGTGGCTTGGGTGCCACAGGCAGCCTTGAGGAAGAGCGCCAGCACCGGCGCATCCGGGAACAGCCTCACCGTCTGTCGGTATGCGTCCCAAAGGCTCTCGGTGCCCGCAGCGCCGCAAGAGTGCAGTCCGCTAAATACCACCGACGCCAGAATTGGATCGGCTTCCAGCTTGTACCTGTCCGTCACCTCGTCCGTCTCGCTCAGAGATGCTTGGGGCTGAGAGAAGGGCAGCACAAACGCCGGTGCTTCAAGCGATTCCAGCTCTATATCCTGCCTCGTCTGGGGTCGGGCTGCATGCTGAGTTATGCCTACGTCGGTCCAGAGCGCCAGCTGTCGCAGCGCCTCGGCGACCTCCTGATGTCGGAACAGGTTCTGCAACAGCACCGACAGGCATGCCGTGGTTGGCAAGACGTTGCGGTCCAGCATCGCTTGCCAAACAGCGCATGCCACGTCTGGGCGTCCGCGCAAGAGGCAACCTTGCATCATCATGGTGTACGCGTAGACGTCGCCGCGGAGCTGCTTGAATGCTTGCGACATGAGAGGATGCGTCTCGCTCCGTTCACCCTCTATATCAGCACGAGATCCGCGCACGAATATTCCCAGTAATGAGAGGGCCTCTTGCAGATGCACCTCTGGCGTCTTGGCCATGACTTGGAGCATATCAAGGCAGACGTGGTTGAGCCTTCTCTTGGCGTGTTCGGGTAGTGCCTCCATATCGGCATCTTCGTATTCAGCGGCTAGAAGCCTCTCAGCCTGCTGCAATGCTTCCATGGCATCGTGTGACCCCTGCGCGGTCCGCACCAGCGACTTGGCCAGCTCGAGGTAGTCGGTCGCAGCCATCCGAATGTCGAGCTCTTGCTTGCACTGCTCCAGGCGGTCAAAGTAGTGTCGGATGCGTCGATAGTCGCGGTTCCTCCCGGCAACGGCGACGGCACTCAGCAGGGCGCGCATTTCGAGCAGAGAGTGTTGCGGCACATGCTGCTCGGTGAGGAGGTCCATGAGCTCCGTATTGGCGAACTGCTCGGACGCGGCTGTCTTGCCCGCGCTCTTGGTCAGTGCGATCTCGATGCGGCCGACGACGATCTGAATCACTTCGTTGCGAACATCGGCGATCTTTTTGGTGGGCTGTCCATCGCCCTGCAAGCTTCCAAGGACGCAAATCATGGCGCTTCGAGCCCTCTCGTCTGCCAACCGAGTGCATCGTCGTGTGAAATCGAAGACAAAGCTTCTGTGCTTGGGCATCTCGTTGGGAAAGGCGCTGATCATGGTCGAGAGGACGTCCCCGAGTCGCGGAACTAGGTGCAAAGCCCTGCCGTCTCCGCTGAAGCAGAACGACGATATCGTTGCGAAGCTGGTAGTCAGGTAGGAATAGGATCCCCACCGCAGATCAGTGCTGAAGCTCGCCACGCGTTGGACGGTCAAGGCTAGCAGCGCCAAAGCGTCGGATGCCTCGGACGGCGTCGCCACCTTGAACACGGCGCGGCGCAGCACGTAGAGCGGCCAGGCTGAATCGTCGGTATTGACCATATATCTGCGCGCATCGGGCCAGCTCTTGCAGAGCATCGCGTTTCGTATAGCCACCCAATCAGCCTCGCTGAGCGAGCTTCGTCGTAGGAATGCTTTCAGGATGGGCCGCATCCGTTCGTGATCCGACGCCAGAGCTGCATACTTTCCCGGGCAATATGCAGCCAGTCCGACGAGTGTATCCTCGAGACACTTTGCTTCGGTGAAAGGAAACGTGCTTGCGCCCGGAGCAAAGATTCGGACCGTGTCTTCGAGATTCAGGCGGGCCCAGGGAGGACGTTGACGTGGTCGCTCCAGCGGTGTGACGAGCGCTTCATCAGGTCGTGTTGCGAGCTGTGATGAGTCCATCTGCATCGAGACACTGTCACTCATTGAAGCAGTCGATGACCTCGTCGTTATGGTTGAAAAGGCGTGTAGACGGGAGGTACCTGCCGTGACCACCCGGGTAGGCGTAGGCGGGTGGGCGAATACGTGCGTCCATGCGGCCGCCGCCGCCTTTGCGGATGGTGGACATCTCGCCTTCATCTTTGTGCTTGCCAGTGTCCTTCGGTCATGACTCCGCGATCCCGTTCTGCTGTGCAACGAAGCGTGTGTGGTCAATGAGTGATACCATCGTGGGCAGGCACGAGTCTCAGAGACACCAGAAGATTTGGGAGCCACGGGGCGGAAGTGGATCCCCGACTTCCGAAATCCTTTCGCAATCGAAGGGCAAAAATTGAGGACACGAAATTAGAGGCAAAATTGCCGGACCTGAGCCGGCCTGTTCCAGGAAAGAAGCTTTCATGCAGGGTCCCTTCACATCCTACTGCTTTGGAGATCAGGTCGACAAGTAAGGCGCAACAATGCATTGATGGGCAGACATTGCTCCTAGATGATGCGCAACAGCTCGTCCACGACAGCTTGAGCGAACTCGGGACTGTTGATATGGCTGTCCTTGGTCACGACTTGAATGGTGTTCTTCTTGTCCCGACTGGCAGCATGTTCCTGCAGCGCACCCTGGATCCCATCCAGCAGGGCGTCTCTGGCTTCCGGATTATCCCACACGCCGTCGGTGCCGTCCATCGCGGAGATTCCAGCCTGGGGGGACAAGATGCGGATCGGCGCCGCCTCCTTGTCTCTGCCACGGCGCTCCACTCCTTTAACAAGCTGGCCGACCAGGAATGTGCCGAGCTCTCTGCACTGATCGCTAGACGTACGGACCAGCGTCACCTGACTGTTGTGTTCGTAGACCTGCGCTCCATCCTTGGTGTGGTGCATGGGGCCCTTTTCGGACGACTTTTCGAGCTCGTATCGCGACGGCAGGCTCGCAAGGGAGCCGAAATTGATCATGTCGAGAGCGCCGAGAGAGACCACCTGTGGGATGCCGTATGCTGCAGCAGCTGTGAGGCGGTCTGGTCCTGCGGAGAGGACGCCGTCGTAGAGGTGATCACACAGCTCAGTGGTGGTTAGATCGATGACTGCGCAAAAGAAGCCTTCTCGAATCAGCCTCTCCATGGTACGGCCGCCCGATCCGGTCGCATGGAACGCTACAGGCTCGTAGCCTTTGTCCTTGAGCAGATCTGATATCTGGTTCACACCGACCGTAGTGACGCCAAACATGCTGATCGCTACCAAGGGTTTGTGGTCTTTCTGCCCGAGCTCCGACTTGGTGTGCGCGCGCCTAGACGCAAGATGGGTATGTGCCATGCCTGAAATGGCGGCCAGAGCGTTCTGCAGCGTCGTCCTTGTGATGGCATTGAGGGAGCCAGAGATATCTCCGACCGAGGGCATGATGCAAATGTCGCTTTCGCCGAGATACTCGCTGACGTCGCCACTTGCCATTGTGGTGAGCATGAACTTGGGCAGCCCGATAGGGAATCTGGAGTCGCGCATGATGGAAGTGGCAAACGCCGTGTTCTGGCTACCGCCGAATGAAGCGATCGCATCGACGGCTCCTTGAGCCTGCAGCTCCCCCAGCTCGTGCAGGCAAGCGCTCTGCAGCGCGTCCCTCACGGCATCTCGCTCGGTCGGCGGAGACTGATGCCTGCCGCGAGACGAGTGGCCCTCGAGAAGCTCTTTGGCTCGGTATAGCTTGGACCCTGTGCCTATCTCAAAGGAGCCGGATGCAGAGCCCTCTGGGGCGTCGCGGGTGCTAGCATCGAACACCGCAACGTTGCAGCCGCGGTCTTGAAGCCATGTGGTCGCAAACTGATATTCGGTCTGTTTCGTGTCGAGCGTGCCGATCAAGGCGACGAGCGGTCTCGTATCGCTCGACATTGCGCCAATGCCAGTATTCGAGGCGCTGGGCTCGTAGGATGATCGTGAAGGTGCTGAGGAAGGAACCTTTGCTTGGCTGACTGTACCGTTACGGCAACCTTCGAGACATCTGCAGGACCCTGCCCAAAAATTGCCGGCGACAAGGATGTGGAGGAACGCACGGGGCAAGGACCGGCTTTGAATCTGAAAAGCTTCTTCGAATCAGCCAAGCCGGGGATTTGTCGCTGCAAGCAAGCGCTCCTCCACCAACTCCAAACGACTTGACTTTGAGTATCCGAGCTAGCAAAGATGACCTACGCCGGCCAGCCCAAGGACGGCCGGGAAGCCGCACAGAGGCTGCGTGATACTCTCAAAAGCGGTAAGCCCATCATCGGATCGGGAGCCGGTATCGGATTGTAAGCCCTTTTTAGCTGTGTAGGATGGCCACAGTGAGGTAGCCGCTGACGAGACGTGCCTCGACCTCTACAACTCAACGTCTGAAACGCTCGACAGGACGGCCAAATTTGTGGAGAAGGGCGGTGTAAGTGCATTGCGAGCGTCGGTCTAGTTTTCGAGCGTTGCCGACTTTGCTGATCATGCTCGCTTGTTGCTTCGCTGGTCGGCTGTTCATGTAGGCCGACTTGATCATGTGAGTGCAGTAAATGCGTCAATCACACGAGGAGCTTTCGCTGACGGATTGTGCTCCGACAGCCTCTACAACTCGGGGCGCTACCGAATGGCGGGTCGAGGCTCGTTGGCGGGTCTGATGCCCTACGGCGATGCAAATGCGATCGTGGTCGAGATGGCGGCTGAAGTGCTGCCCGTCATCGAGCACACGCCCGTCCTCGCTGGCGTGTGTGCTTCGGATCCATTCCGATCGATTCCCAAGTTCTTGCGTCAGCTCAAGGAGATCGGCTTCGTGGGCGTTCAGAACTTCCCCACGGTCGGTCTCATCGACGGCAACTTCCGACAGAATCTCGAAGAGACGGGCATGAGATACGACAAGGAGGTCGAGCTCATGCGCGAGGCCAAACAGCTCGGCCTGCTCACCACACCGTACGTTTTCAACACGCACGAGGCTGAGCAGATGGCTACCGTCGGCGTCGACGTCTGCGTTGCCCACATGGGCCTCACCACCAGCGGCAGCATTGGTGCCAAAACAGCAATGACCCTCGACAACGCCGTCAAGCTCACAGCCGAAAGTAAGTTGCTCCCTTCCCACTTTGGTATGAGGACAGATCGTGAACTTCAACTCACATTGGCTTGCGAACCATTCGACAGTCACGGCCAAAGTGCATTCCATCTCTCCCGACACCATGGTCCTCGTGCATGGCGGGCCCGTTGCCAGCGCCCAAGACGCTCAATACGTACTCGACCGCGTGCCTGGCCTCGCCGGCTTCTACGGTGCCTCCAGCATGGAGCGTCTCCCCGTCGAGACCGCCTTGGAAGAGAGCATGCAGGGCTTCAAGAATCTCAAAGTCGCCTCCAAGTGATTGTCCCTGCAATCTCAACCCGATGCTCGCAGGCAAAAACAAACAGCCTCGGCAACAAGCTCCAGAGCACTTGTGATTGTGTATCGATTACCGGATCGTGTTGTTGTATTATTGAATGACAAGGTCAAGGAGGGTGTCTGCAAGCACCACAAAGTCTAGCGGTGGGCAAGTTTTGCTTCAGACGTCGTCGCGTCGAGAGAGCGGGCTGTTGGAGCCGTTGCGCTCGTGATACCTCGGTGCAAAGCGGGTCGAGCCTGCGCCAGCTGACGTCGACGGCCGTCGCATGAGTTCTTCGCGCGCTGGTCCACGCAGATCATGGACCAACGACCGACGTCGATCGCCCAGCTCGTCCTCGCCGTCGCTCGAGGCGCCTTCCCGGGACGAAGACATTCGCGCGAAGCCGTTGCTGCCGAAGCGCGGCGCAGGCGCGTCTCCCGATGTGAGTGGTCGCGACCACGATCCAGACCTCTGAGATGACGGCCGCGCCACTTCGCTCTGCAGCGTCGAAGCGACGGCGCTCGAGCCCGGTCGGCTAGGTCCGTGCGTTGTCCTGAGCGGAGGCAGCTGGAGTTGGCTCGCACCCGCAGCTCGTCCGCTGCTCGAGACTGGTCTCGAGCCACCGCCGTCTTCGCGCAGGCCGAACCCGAGCGTCGCTCCGCTGCTGGAACCGAGCCGACGAGAAATGACATGCGCGTCCGGTGCAGTGCTCGAGCTGGGTCGTCGCCAATCTGCGCCTGATCCAGCGCCATTGCGGTCCACAGACAGCCGCCACGAGCTCGCGCTGCTCTCGCGTGGCAGGGGCGGAGGCTGGAACATGAACGGCGAAGCGTTGTTGCCCGGGCTCGTGCGAAGCTCGGAGCTGTCGGTCTGCAGTCTGGGGTGTGCTTCGTCCTCACGTACACCGTAAGAGGAGCCCATCCTGGAGCGACGTCCCTCGTCTCCGACAAACGTGCTGGACAGCTCGAAGGCCGAGCCTCGGCGTTCGGAAGCGATGCGAGATTCTCGTCGCTCATCCAGCAGCGCCAGAGTCGACGACAGCGGTGGCAGATCGTCGCCGCCTGCCTGGACAGAGCCGTGTGGCCGACTGACCATCGATCCGCCCGAGGTGAGAGGACGTCGGTCGTTTGCTCTCGCGGTGGTGGACGTCGTGCTCGGCCGATCTGTCAGGTCAGGAGGGTTGCCGAATCGCGCATCGCCGCGCTGGCCGAGTGATGGCCGAGCGGATCGAAGCGAGGAAGGTGGCAAGAAAGGCTTCGGCCCTTGGACGGCATCGCCAGCCAAGGCGCCGGCGGGGCTCGTATACGGACGGTAGCTGCTGCTCGCTTGCGCCTCGTCGACACGGTCGAGCTCGGCGGATGTTGCGAGAAGCTGCTGGTCGATGCTCGGAAGCCTTTGCGCTGCCATGGAGCCGGGCCGACTGCCCCCCATGGCTGCAGCCGTTCCTGGTCTGCTCGCGCTCGGCGTGATGGACGACAGAGGAGGCAGAACGGGACGGTTCTGCGAGGTGAGCGGCCGCGAGCCTTGTGCGCTGCTGGAAGGTCGTCCGTGCGCACTCCCTGGTGGAGGGAGAAGTGGAGCGGATCCTGCATCGAGCGACGCACGGATGCTTCCGCGTGAAGGCGGAGGGCTGTTCGCTCTGGCGCGCTTTGCCAAAGTAGGAGTGCGCATGTGAAGATGCGCCGACAGGGTGGATTCGTACTGCGACCTGGACTCGGAGTCGCCAGCAGCGAAATCCGTCGCTGGATAGTGAGCAGCGTACGGGTCGTCGCTCGCCACGGGCCCACCGCCAGTCGAGTTGCGCCAGAAAGGGTTGGAAAAGGAAGGTCGTTGGGTATGGCCCTCTGCAGCCTCACATTCAGCGCCCGTGTAACTGCCGGCAAGAGCTGTCTCCAGGGGCGGGCCGTTTGGTCGCCAGGCTTGCGCAGAGAGTGAGGAAGCGTCAGCCATGTTGGCTGATGGCCGCCTCTCGAGCTCTTGCGGCTGACGACGGTAAGCATCGTAGGGCGGCATATACGATGGATGTCCGGGCGGAAGGCCTTCGTCGTGATAGCTCGAATGCGGCGTCACGAACTCCGTCGCTTGTTCCTGGCGAAGGGCTGGCCCTGAATTGGATGCAAAGTGTGCGGCTTGCTGCTGGGACGGATGAGGTGCGACTTCGAAAGGCTGGCCAGGGGCACCTGGGGCCATCGGAACACCAAAGCCGACAGGCTGGCCGCCCTGTTGCACATACTGCGGGTCATGACTCGTCCAAATGGGCATCGACGCTGGATGACCGGGCGTGGAGAAGGCAGTGGCGGGAGGAGCGGAGGCTGGCGGATCTGCAGAGTCATACTCTGACGGGTACGGATTGGGCTCGTAGATGCCGTGGGAGTTCTGCTGGGCAGCATGGATCGCGTTTGAATTGGAGGAGACGGGAGACCCCGAGCGATCGTTGCCGGCGCCACGCGCAGCTCTAGTCGCAGCGCTCGTCTTTCCTCCTCCTTTGCCGCGGCGTCCAGTGTGATTGTGGCTCGCAATCAAGGCGCCGGGCGAGCTGCTCTTGCCGAGCACTTGGGCGTGGGCGTGCTGGGCCTGGGCGGCTGATTGTGCAAGTGAAGCGTGGAGGGACGAGAGCTCCTGCATCATCATCTCGTTCCGATCCGGAGTGTCAGCATGCACGGTCTGCGCATGTTGGCGAAGGTTATCGAGGCGAGAAAAGGCTTTGCCACAGTGACATCGGAACGGCCGCTCGCCCGTATGCTTGCGCACGTGACGTGCGAGATGCTCGCTTCGGGTGAAGACCATGCGGCAATCGCCGAAGCCGCGGCATTGAAACATGGTGACGTTGCCGCTTCCCTCGGACTTCTGGCCATTGGGGTCGTCGGAGGAGCTGTCATCTTTGCTGTCGGCGGCTTCAGTCTTGCGGCCGGGCGACTCTTTGCGAGCTCGCTTGTTGCGAGGACCTTGTTGATCGGCAGCCTCGTCGGAAGCCGAGTGCGTCGGGGGACCGGATGCAGCATGAACATGGCCGTTCATAGGGCCGGGCGCGACGAACGCGGAGGGCCCCGCCATGCTTGCTGGATGCGACATGTAGCTGGCTCCAGGAGCGTACGAAGTGTGGGCAGCGTTTGTTGGCGCATCGTGGTACTGAGGACGCGCCTCCTGCTCGGTGGGTGGTGCGAACCCGAACGGCCTGCCATCGCCGTAGCCAGATTCGCGGTAAGAAGTATGTGGCACGATGGACGCAGCGGCGTACGGGTCGGATCGGACCTGCTGAAAGTTGGGATTCATGCCGAGGTTGGGAGACGTCTGATGCTGGCGCGGGTCGTGGTAAAAGAACCCCGACTGCTGCGAGGATGAAGCAGTCTCCATGATGGGCGGATAGTGGATGATGGATGCGCGAGAAGGATGGATGCTTGCGACTGAAGGATGAGCAACACGGCGTTGCTTCAGTCAGTGGTTCCCTTGGATCACCAGCGAGGCGCGTGAGGGTGGACCGAGCGGTGCTTCTGCGACTGATCGGAGGCTGCTACGCGTGTCGCATTCGGAGAGAGAGTGCGGTCGGAAGCGGATGTGAAGAACGAGAGAAGGGAAGAGGTGACGGCGTCGCACGGGGCCGATTGCATTCCAGCACTCGAACGCTTGCTGAGCGGTTCAAGGCTCGGATTGACCGGATGACAGGGGCAGCACTGGTCCACGGACGCAAGGTTGAAGGACGAGGACGAGGGCGAGGACGAGGGCGAGGACGAGGGCGAGGGCGAGGACGAGTGTGTGAGAGGCCTGAGCAAGGATGTGCGTTCTGCAATCTAATGCGTTCGGACGGGCGGAAGGCGGAATCGGACGGGCCGATGCGTTAGGCGAGCCTAGCTGGCACTGGCACTTGAGTCGAAGCTTAAGTGAGCGCAGAAGGCGGCGGATGCAAGGTCGGAGAGTGACTCGGAGACGAGCGAGCGGTTGAGCAAGCACGCGAGAGATAAATGGTCACGTCGCCGCGCACACCGGTCAAGGCAAGCCGACGGAGGCGGGCTGGGTCTGTCGAGTCGCTGTCGGAGGCGGCGAGCGTTGCGGACGGACGTGCTGTGCCGAAGGGGATCTTGAGACTGAGCAAGATGCAGGTCTTGGCACACCGCGGTGCGACGGAGAAGCCGACGGGCCCGGGTGCAGACGATGCGCACGCGCACGCGAAACAAGGTTAACGTCGAAAGCTAAGCTGCGCACAACCACCAGACCGATGCAGAGTTGGGGCGGTCCGGGAGTGGCACGGTGCACAGCAGAAAGGCCGGATGGAGAGCGAAAAGGCCAACTCTTCGCAACGAGGCGGCTGATGCAAATGCGGATGCCGAACGGCGAAAGTCTTCGGGCCGGTCGCCGCAATAGATTCTGCTTTGGCTGTGCAGTCAAGGCTTCTTCGGACGGTGCGGACAAGACTTTGGAGTCGGACAAGAGGCGGGATCGAAGAGCAAGAGGTCGAGATCGAAGCTGAAGTTGGTGGAGAGTGGAGAGCGGAGAGTGGAGAGAGGATGGGGAGGGTGAAATGTGGAACGCGCGAGGGCGTGGGCGAGCGGAGCGATGATTGGTGGTGAAAAGAGGCTGGATCCGCCGAGATTCCATGCTTCAGGCACGCCGCCGCCCCGGTCTCTCTAGTACAGCAAGCTAGTCAGGGCAAGGACACATGCAAGAGCCACTCGCCGCCCTGACTACAGGGTGTCCCCAGCGAAAAGGCGCGCGCGACTCACACGCAGCAGCAGCAACACGCCGACCCTTTCAGCGGCGGTCAGTTACAGCCCACCGGTCACTCATGCCAGGCAGACGCTCGGATCGATGCTGCTCGTGCCTTGTGTCGCCTGCGGCCGGCTGCAGCGCATGCACCTTTCGGATGGCTGCGCGTGCTTTCGAGCACGCTCCACAGCTCTCAGGCGGTCTTGCATGTCCCTTTTGGAATTTCTGCAATTTATCAAATTTCGACCTCTACCAGGCGGCTACTTGGGCTCAACACGCGGAGGAGCCAAGTGCGGAGGCGCGAGGCGGACGTCGGTGGTGACTGGGTGAGTGTGACGAAGGAGAGTGGGACGTGCTAGTGGGCTCGGCTGCGATGGGCTGCGTTGCCCTTCTGCGAGACACGAGGGTGTTCCGAAGAGCTTGCAGAGCGCCGCCCTGAGACGAAGCGAGCCGTGCCCACACGGCCTGGTCAAGCGATCCTCGGGTGGCAGGCACAGAACAGGCACCGAGCACAGCAGGTCCGACGGCGCTCCGGCTCGAACGGAAGGATGGAATGCGTGCTTTGGGCGCCACTTTGCCCTGCTAGATTGGCTGCGTGCATGCAACCCCATCCGCCCTGACGGCTCGCCCCTCCTCGCTCCGCCCTCACTTGAGGCTCGGTCCATCGGATTGCCCTTGCGTCCCACGGTGGGTTGGACGCTGGTCACATCGCAAGGGCGCAGGGGTCGCTGGGCGCCACTTGCCGCTGGTTGGAAAATTCAACACCGATCGCTTTTTCTGGCCCCCGTCTCCACAGCAGCGAGGGCGAGATTCAACGCGTAAAACAGAATAGCCGGTGCAGGCTCGATTCCAAATGCAGCTGCGGGCCAACTCCCGAGGCATGCTACATGGGTCGCAGCGCTTCTTTGCAAGGGGGAGGGGGATACGGTATGGCGACAACGACTCATCGTAGGGGAGCGAATGCGGCAGTAGCCTGTTGCACCTCGACCCTGGACAACGGACGAGCGGAGCAAACCAGCTTCTGTGCAGCTTCGTAGCGCGTGCCCTGCTGGCAGATCCTCCGGGCCAGGGCCCGGGCGAGATGTGCAAACAAAAAGGCACGCTCCGCTCGACTGGAATTTTTCCACATGCCTCTCTTCCCCGCTGAGGGACCTCCATCTTTTCACGCTAGGCCCCGCAGCTCAGCCTGCATCACGTGTCCTTGATCGCATCTGCCGATTCATCGGGTGACCTTACCTCTCCAACTCGACGACATGCTCCCTTATCCAAGTCACCACGCCTCGTCTCTGCTTGCAGAGCATATCCAACAGCTCAGTCCGTGGCGGAGCTGAAGCAGCGACCGCGCCGAGATTCTCGTGCCGTGCCGTGTAGAGTTCTAGAAACACTTGCTCTTTGCAAGACGGTGCGCAACAAGTTATCATGCTGAGGAGTTGATGGATACCGACAAATGCCTTCGCACCGCGAAGGCATGGTTCGCTTGCGGGTATCTCGGCAGGTAGCTGACGCAAGTGCCGATCCGTCAGGGGGAGCAGCTTCAGAAGAGATCTGTTGTCCTCCGACTTGTACACCTAGCTGCCGTGCACATCTGTGAGCGTCTTGCAGTCTCTCGAAGCCAACCAGGAACCGCGGGCTGTCTCCAACAATTCTGCGGCACGTCCACAAAGAGGGCATCGTCTTGGCCGCATCTACCCTGTCGAGGAGCGAGGCGGATCCCAAAAGCCGACATGGGCGTGGCATTGATACAGCGGCACACCGAGCTTGGCGCGATCCCCGCCCAGCCTGCTCTTTGGACAGCCACACCGTACCTGACTCTCACATTGGCTCAGATGAAGCTGCCACCGGCGGCCGGCCGACCAAGACCGATATGATACTCTGCTCCACTTTGCACATGGTCGTGCAGCGACTGCGGTTCATTCTGGGGGCCAGCTGAACCGATCGCCGCCCAGTTTGGTGCCATGCGGTCGAGTTCGCCAGGAGGTCCAGCTGCATCCGAGGTTTGACACACGGCCATGTGCGATGATGTCAGGCTGTTGCCATGGTCTTGCATCACTGGCGCGTCGCATGTTTTTTTTTTCTTTTCTTTTTTTCTTTCTTCCGACTGGCATCATGGATCGCAGCTGCAGGCCAGCAGCACGCAGCTTTGTTTGGCCGATCCGTTTTGGCGCCTTTGCGGAAATCGAAAATTAAGCATCCCGCATGACTGTGGCTACCCCTCTCAAGCGATGAACAGGCTCACTCCGATGGCACGTATCTCGCACGTCGACTCGCTCAGCCTGGTTCGGCCTCTTGTCACGGCCAAGAAGCTTGGCCCCTCCTGTGTGTCCTGTCGGATAGTCTGCTGGCTCAAAAGGATCAGCAGACGTCTTCGTCTCGATTTGAGCGTCGTTAGGAGGGCCGAAGAGGAACGCGGTGGAAGCAGAAGTCCGGCATTGTCATGCCTTGCGCGCCCGTCTCTTGTGTGTCGAGGATCGCTGCTCGGGAATGCATCTCCGGTCGTCGTAATGGCTCTGCGGACATGGCTCTTCGCCTCGGACACCGTTGAGGGGCATGTCCGCGAGCCGACACCCGACGTTCCTGAAATTCATGCGTGGTATTGGTGGAGCAGATGGCCGGTACTGCCGGGACTAGTGAGCCGATCGACGGTCTTTTCGGTCAATGTCGAGCCTGATCGACTTGCCACGATCAAGATTAGGCTCACAATGGCAGCTTCTTGAACCGAGCGCAGAGAGCGTCTCGACGCGACTCGCTCGGCGCAGACAGCGACAGAAAGGTGCCGGCGTCGTCAAATTAACTTAAGCCTGTTCCACACAGAAGAGTCCATGGAAGAAGGCTCTCTCTCCTGAAGATTTCCCTCGAGAGACTTTGAGCGAAAAGGACAGTGGGGTGGCTCAGCCTCCCGCGTATGCTCGCGCACTCAATCTTGGCCCCGCGCCGAGCGATGCAGCGAGCGCTGATCGTGCAGCGCAGTGCCGTGCAGTGTCGCGGCCACGCCTTGAGGTTTATGCAAAGCCTACAAAGCAAGGGAAAAAAAAAAAGAGGGGCCCACCTGTCAATAGCAAGAGGGCCCCCGTGGGCCACTCACTCGGAGGATCAGGGGCCACACCCTTGAGGCACGCCCAACGGAGCGACGGTCGACATTCGGGGTTAGGGGAATGGAAGGGACAGCCAAAGGCCAGAGGCAGCAGCCCGGTCAAAAGTCCGAATGCGAACTTCCCGTCGAGCCGCTCTGTCGTCACCGAGGTCAGCCGCCAAGGCGCGGCACTCCCGTCTGACGAGACTGGCAGCTTGTTTCGGACAGTCGCGCCAGGCAGGATGCCTCGAGCCATCGCCTGGCCAAGCGTGGCTTCCGATGCGGAGCTCGAAAAACCCACAAAAAAAATTCTCCGTTCGCGCATTCCCTGCCGCCGCCGTCGCGCTGCAACAGCTGCAGCTTGGCAGCGCAGGTGGGGCGCGGCGCTGCGCCTCAAGCCTCCGCTCCACATTGTCATTTTGGCTCAATGCGTGGACGAGCCCGTGTGGATGTCCTGTGAGGATGTCCTGTGACATTACGCGGAAGTGTGATTCGCTGGATCCGGCTGCCACTTCCGTGAGCCCATCTGGATGCGCGCCGAGCTTGCTCTGTCTGCTCCAGTCTTCGCACTCTGCCAAGTCTGTGACGCTCGATGCCGCTCCAGCCGAGCGCATGGCCACTGGACATCAGCCGAAGACCAAAAAAAGGGAAAGAGAAAAGAGGGTGTGGTGGCCCACCCCGCTCGCAGCCCAGCCGGGCCCTCAATCTGACCTCTCCCTCTCTCTTCTCTCTCTCCTCCGGCCGCTGCCAGCCGAACATGCACACCGGCTGTGGTCCGCGCAAGGTTGTCTCCGAAAGCACCTCGATGACGCTAGGACGTCTGGCTCCCCGCGGCTGATGATCATAAATACCTCGCACGCACCCCGCTCCGCCATCGCTCTGCCCCAACCCACATCATCCCCCCGAACTTTGGCGTCCTCCTCTCGATTCTTGGGCGTAGCCGTGCCTCCTGTACCGCACTGTCCCCCTTCGTCTCGATTGATCGCGTGGTGATCGTATGCACCGCCAGCAAGTAGGCCTTTCGCATCCGACTCTGCTCAACGTCCTCCTACCTCAAGCGCAGCTCGCCTAGAAGCATCCAAACATCATGGTCTTCCAGGTGCGAGGCACGCCGATTGGCGCCCTCACCCTCTTCATCGCCATGCTCGCCTCCATGGGTGGCTTCCTCTTCGGCTGGGACACGGGTCAGATTTCCGGTCTTACCCAGATGGCCGACTTCCGTCAGCGCTTCGCCACCGTCGACAACCCCGATGCGATCGGCGGCAAGGACTGGAACCCGTGGCTCGAAGGCGTCGTCGTCTCGCTCCTCAGCGTGGGAACGGCCATCGGTGTCATGATTGGCGCCCCTCTGGCTGACTCGCTCGGTCGACGATGGGCCATGGTCGTCGAGTGCATCATCTTCGACATTGGTGTCATCATCCAGGTCACCTCTTTCACCGCCTGGTACCAGGTGGCCATCGGTAGGCTCGTCACTGGTCTCGGCGTCGGCGCACTGTCGGCCGCCGTGCCCCTCTACCAGTCCGAGACTGTGCCGCGACAGGTGCGAGGTGCCCTCGTCGGTACCTACCAGCTTTTCATCACCCTCGGCATTCTGCTGGCCTACTGCACCAACATCGGCACCCGCAACTACGGCAACTCGGGCGAGTGGCGCGTGCCCATCGCCCTCGGCATCTTCTTCTCCACCATCCTCGCCGTCGGCATTCTCTTCTGCCCCGAGTCGCCCCGTTGGCTCGCTGCCCGAGGCCGCAACGAAGAGGCCTACAAGTCGTGCGCGGCAGTGCGAGGCGCCAAGTACGGCGACGGCAACCCCTGGGTCGAGGCCGAGTACCGCGAGATCATCGCCGTGGTCAAGGCCGACGAGCGAATGGAGGAGGCCGGCTGGATCGACTGCTTCAAGCCTCGAAACAAGACGCTCTACCGAACCCTGCTCGGCATGACGCTGCAGGCCGGCCAGCAGTTCACCGGTGCCAACTACTTCTTCTACTTTGGCACTGCCATCTTCACCTCGGTCGGCCTGAGCGACTCGTTCGTCACTCAGATCATCCTTGGCGCCGTCAACTTTGCCTGCACGTTCCTCGGTCTCTACATCCTCGAGCGCTTCGGTCGACGCTGGCCTCTGATCTACGGCGCTGCTTGGCAGTCGTTCTGGCTCTTCGTCTTTGCCATCGCCGGTGTTGTCGGTGGTCCCCAGCCCGACCAGATCTCCAAGGGCGTGGGCAACCTGCTCATCGTCTCTGCGTGCCTCTTCATTCTCGGATACGCCTCCACCTGGGCTCCCGGTATCTGGGTCTGGATCGGCGAGAGTTTCAGCTACCGCACCCGTGCCAAGCAGGCGTCGCTCGCCACCCTCGCCAACTGGGTCTCGAACTTCCTCATCTCGTACTTTAGCTCGCCCATCGCCACCGAGATCAACTTTGCCTACGGCTTTGTCTTCGCCGGATGCAACTTGGCCAACACGCTCGTCGCCTACTTCTTCGTCTACGAGTCGGCCGACCTCACCCTCGAGGACGTCGATGCCATGTACAACGACCCCAACTGCAAGGCGTGGCACTCGACAAAGTGGGTGCCGGCCGGCTACACGTCGCGCGACCAGATCAAGGAGAAGGACAGCGGCCAGGCAAGCGAGGTGGGCGAGTGGAGCAACTCGCCCTCGGCGCTGCCCGGCGAGCAGGAGAAGAATAAGGCCAATCCTCTTCAGGTCGCCTGAACGGCTTCAAGAAGCACCCTTCTCAGTTTCCACCGCATTCGGCATCACCATCTGCATCTCCCCATAAATACCAATGCCCCGTCACAAGGCTAATTGCACATTGGCCGCCGCTTCGCACTTCAGTGCGTCTGTACGTACTTCCGCCTGCAAGGCAAGGCATTAATCGCAGAAGCTGGTCATATCGTAGAACGTTCGAAATAATGTACTATTGAATGATCCGGTGATTGAGATGACGAGGGAGCTGAAGTAGTCAAAAGGCATGCTTCGCCGTTGGCAACTCTTGATGCGCGCCCAGCGTCGAGCTTTTTTGGCCCAGGAGGAAATCTCGGAATTCGGAGCGACAAACGGGCTGAGAAGCCGACTGGCCAAATTTGCCTTGGACGCAGCTTCATTTCTCCACCTCGTACGCCCATCCGCCCTCTTACTCGACCTCGTCAACATCATGTCGCTCTTTGGACTTGGAGGCGGCTCTTCGCCTGCCGCAAGCAATGCAGCTGTGAGCTCGGCTCAGATCGAGGCTGCTACCGCCGAACTCGAGATGGTCACCGACGTCTTCAACCGCCTCGTCTCGTCGTGCCACGCCAAGTGCATCTCCACAAGATACGCCGAGCCCGACCTCAACAAGGGCGAAAGCATCTGCATCGACCGGTAAGCCCTTTCTCTTCTCCTCAACTACAGGCATGGATGGCATGCTGAGACGGCTTGACTGACAAACACTTCCATGTCCCGGGTATCGCCACTCGCAACAGCTGCGTCAGCAAGTTCTTCGCTGTCAACGGAAAGGTCAACGAGCTCATGCAGTCCATGGGCCAAGCCGCGCAGGGCGGTGCTCCCAGCGGTGGAGGATCCTTCTTTGGATGATGTCGCTCGTCTGGCGATCAAATACACAATGCCAATGCAGTTCGATTCGTTATACCAGTGCAAGGTGATGCGTACACAGCAGCAGCAGCTGCTTCGGTGCACCGCTTGGCCGGTGCCATAGCGCCGACAGCCTGCTTCTCGGTGACAAGGGCTAGGCTAGCATGTACTGAGCTGCTTCCAGTAATCCATCAGCCATGCACTGCTCAACGGCTCGCCGTTGTGTCCCATGTGAGGGAACCATCGAAGCTGCGCACCCGGGCCGTGCTCGGCCAAGATGCGCTGGTCGTCTGTGTGTGTTTGGAAGCCGAAAGGTCAGACGAGTCGAACGTGTGAGCGCAAAGCTACTGGCCATGTTGATCACCTTTGAGACTCACCAATCGGAAAGATCGTGTCGCGCTCGCCGTTGACCGCAAGCAGGGGCGCACTGGGCTGGTCGAGCAGACCTGAGATGCAACGACACTCGATTTTTGCGTCGTGAGCAAGCGCTGCCGATCCATCGCTGGTGCGACATGCGTCCACTTACCCTGACGAAGAAGCGAATACTTCTCGGCCTCGTCCTTGAATTCTTCCTGGTCTGAGTAGCCAAAGGCCTGGCTCAGCGCGCGCTGTAGGCTGGCTGGGTAAGCCAACGCCTCGGCCGCTTCGAGCCACCTGTTCATCGTTTCAGTGACTCGTCAGTACGTGCTGCACATCTCCAGCCTGGAAGAGACCACGAAGCTGTTCACCTACGTTCTTGTAAAAGTGTAGTGACTCGCGGTTCCCTGGCTGACGACCGTGCGGAGGCGATGTTGCTCGACGCGCGAGGCACGCACCGCCCAGTAGGAGCCCGTCGAGATGCCCCAGAAGCTAACACAGTGCGCGCGAAAGAGCCGGTTGTGAGAGTGAATCCAGTCCACAATGCTGTTCCAGTACTTTTGCTCCGCCTGAGGATCGCGGCCCGTGATGGGGGAGTCGGCAGTTCCAGGCATCGGGACGACGATCGCTGCGTATCCGTACGATGTCAAAGCGGTGATCTGCTCGAGCATGTATGTGTGATAGTGGTCCAGGCCAGTGATGATGACAACGACCGGCTGTGCTCTTCGCTGCCCCTTGGCACGAAAGACTCGGAGCGGAATGGCTGTCGTGGCATCGTGGACTTGTCGTCAGTGTGTCTAGCTTCAGGCTTGATGCCTTGGCGCCGACCAGATAGCATTCTCACCTGGCTGATTCGAGTCTCTGCCACCGAGCGTTGCGAGAGGGATATCTGCCTTGAAGCTCTGGAACAGTCCCATCAGGCTTGATTGACGTTTGGGCCCAAGTCAGTAATGATGATCGCGCTCCTCGTTCTCTGATCGAGCCCATTCTTTGCACCTACTCGAGGGCGGCCTGGAATGCAGCTTTGTCGAGCTCCCACGCGGCCAGCTTAGCTCTGGACCTGCTGGTGGCTTCGTGGACCCAAGGGAAGTACGCCAACCGGTAGACATTTGCAGCTCGCCTACGGGCTCGAAGAGGGAGTTCCAATGTCAGTGGCTCACTGAGCTCGTCCAATAAGGGGAAGGGGAGGGACGCACATGTAGTAGGTGATTGCCTCTTGGCTTGCACCGCTAGAGCGCAGAGCATCGGCGCGCTCAACGAGCTCGTTGCCCTTTGGTAGAAACAGGCTTGCCCACTCGTCGTCTCCAATGTCAGCGACCGGAACGTCAGGATAGGCTGCCACGAGGTGATCAAAGATGGGCGCAAAATCGGCCTCGTCGGCGTAGGCGTCTACTGGCCACGCTTTGCGCTGCAACTGCAATGCCCAAATGAACCGGACATGTCATTGATGTCAGCATCTTCAATACCGTTACAGCACGATTTTCAGACCAGCAAAAGAGACCGAAAGAGTCGTCGATGAGGAGCGAGTTTCAGAACGCACGGCGACTTTCAAGAACGTCTCATACCAGGCCGAGACAGACTGATGGTACGGATAGGGCGAAGTGTCGGTCATGACGTCCGTTCCAAAGGTGAAGAACAAATCGGTACTGTCATCGACATCGGCGTAGACCGCGTCATTCGGAACAATCAGGAGGAACACTGTCCATGCGAGGATGGCGGCAAAGTATCGCATGTTGGAGACGGTATGCTCCAAGTGGGCAAGCTAGAAAGGAAGACTCAGTAGAAGGGACGAAGGCAGTGTGTATGGGTAGCGGGACACACCCCGATAAACACTCGAGGGCTGTCATTCAATCAGCATATATACGCCCGTCCAGCTACGTAGACGACAGCGTGTTCAGGCAAATGGCCACTGTCGGACTTCGATTGGTCTGGTGCGTTCGGAGCCAGTCTCTGCAAAGTGTCGTGCAGCGATGGAAGGGGGGTATGAAGGAGGTTGGATGGTTCAGATGGGCGGCCGAGGCTTGGCCAGCGCCCGCACTTTGGGAGCGTTTGGGGTGGGAAAGACTGGCGCCGGTGAGGGAGGGATTCGGAGGCAAGCCTAACGCGCTTCCAGACTTGGCTAAGCCTCGGGAGGTCTCCTCCACAAGAGAAACCTCCGTGATTTCTCGAAAGGCGTCTTGCAGCGTGACATCTTCCTGGCCTTTGCCACGATCCACACTCGGATTCCTCGGACATCGCTATCTCACTGCCATACGGTACTGCTCCAACATCGACGATACACAGCACTGGGCTCGGATCTCACAGCAACACAGCGACGATGGCCGGCTCGACTGAACCCGCTCCGGCACCCACAAGGGACGAGCGTAAAGCTTGTTGGTCGCACCGAGATGTCTATTTTGCATGCTTGACCCAAAAGGGAGTCAGGGTGCCTCCCGGTACCGACATGAGCGATGGCCGAGGCCCGATCGGAAAGGCCGCCAAGGAAGAGCAAGAGGCGCTCGAGAGGGAGAAGGCGATCACCGCCGACGAAGCGCGGAAACAGGACCCATGCCTGGAGGCGCGACAGGGGTACGAGGCCAACTGCGCTCGGAGCTGGGTAAGTGCCGCAATAGAGAGAAGGCAGGCTGGACTCACGAAGCGACCGCGATACGCCGAGGGTCGGATATGCCCAGCGCGAAGCTCCGAAAGGATCGCGATGACTGACGCTTTGTTTCCTTTGGTCCGCTCTTGAACTCAGGTCGACTATTTCAACAAGAGAAGAGTGCTGGAGCAGCGCCAAAAGATGATGTACGAACAGGCCGAAGCGGATCGATCGAAGCGCTGACATCCTGGCCCGGCATCAGCGCCGACCGACAGTTTGCTTCGCTCTTAGCGCAAGCTCGGCACTTCCGAAGCGTTGGACTTGGTCGTCTCAGGCATGCACCACTCTCAGCAGAGCATTCGTCAAGGTCACATTGCTGCCGGAGTGCATGTCGGAACTCGCCCGAGCTCAGCGTCACCGTTTTGTCTCGGCTCGGCCGCCTCCTCGCGCCGATCCCGACTCGAACTGTACTTTACATCTTACTACGCCCATCCCTAATCATATTCACGCTGTTCACACGTCGCCCGTTCCGCTGAGCCTGGTACACTGCTGGGGGAGGCAACGGAGCCCGAAAGGATGCTCGTCTGCACCTGCCGCGGGTGCGTGGCGTCTGTGTTGGGCACCGTCAAGCAGGCGGTCAGGGAGGCTCGAGAGGAAATTCGGGACTCGGGCATCGCCCCTGGAGCTGCAAGAAATTCTCGAGGCGTGGAATTCCACGCCAAGCGCAGCAGACCAGCTCGCTCAGGGCGCAGTCGCGAGTCGGCCACGCGCTCCCGTGGAGCGGATGCATCTTGGCTCGCTCTTCAGGTGACCCTCGCCTCTTCATCACCTTCATCACACTCGCCTTCCGCACCTACGCCAGGCCCGGACTCAAGCGCGCACACGCTGACATCTGCCGATATTCTTCTCAGAGTGCGATCGCTTGCCGGCATCATCCGAGCTTGCCGTGCTGAGCTTGGTAGCTATGCCTTCGCGTGACCGCTCGCTCGACGCGCGCTCGAATGCAAGCAGCAGCAGCACCAGATCAGCCTCGCCCGATGAAGCCGCAGCGCTCAAACGCAAGAGACCCATCAGCCGCTCGCCGTCTGGAGCCAGCGCCGGGTCGTCTCGCTCGGCATCCAGATCCAGATCTCCGCCTCCGAGGTCACGCAGAAGAAAGTCATCCAGAGGTCGCTCGCCCTCGTTCAGCAGCGATGACGACGCGCACAAACGCAACGAGTCTTCTCGGACAGCTGAGGCGCAACAAAGCGAGGCAAAGGCCAAGGAAGTGGCAGCCAAGGGTGAGGCGCTCCGCTCCACTTTGGCCAAACTCTCTGCCACCAAGGCCGGTGGTGCCTACATCCCGCCCGCGCGCTTGAAGGCTTTGATGGCAGAAGCAGCCGCAGCGGATCCCGGAAGCGCCGAGTTCCAGCGTATGAGCTGGGACGCGCTCAAGAAGAGCATCACCGGCCTCGTCAACAAAGTCGCTGCCGAAAACATCAAGACCATCGTCGTCGAGCTCTTCGGCGGCTCCAACCTCATCCGCGGCCGCGGTCTGTACTGCCGCTCCATCATGCGCGCACAGGCGCTCTCGCTATCCTTTACGCCCGTCTTCGCCGCCCTCACCGCCGTCGTCAACACTAAGCTGCCCATGGTCGGAGAGCTCCTCGTCATCCGGCTCGTCTCGCAGTTCCGTCGATCATTCAAGCGCAACGACAAGACCGTCTGCAACTCAACCGCCATGTTCATTGCTCATCTCGTCAACCAGCGCGTCGTTCACGAGGTCCTGGCTCTCGAGATCCTCGTGCTCCTGCTCGAAAAGCCCACCGACGATAGCGTCGAGATCGCTGTCGGTTTCATGCGCGAGGTCGGCGCTTTCCTCGCCGAAGAGGCGCCCAAGGCCAACAACAGCATCTTTGACCGGTTCCGTGCAGTACTCTACGAGGGAGACATCAGCAAGCGCGTGCAGTACATGATCGAGGTGCTCTCCCAAGTGCGCCGCGACGGCTTCAAGGACAACCCGCGCATCCAAGAGGCCCTCGACTTGGTCGAAGAGGACGACCAAATCACGCATTCCGTCAGTCTGGATGACCAGCTCAACGTCCAAGAGGGCCTCAACGTCTTCAAGAACGACCCAGACTTTCTTGAAAACGAGGAGCGCTACCGTGCTATCAAGGCAGAGATCCTGGGCGAAGATGATGACAGCGATGACGGCGGATCCGATGCGGACTCCGAGACTGGTTCGAGCTCAGACGAGAGCGAGGCAGCCGACCCGGACGTCGCACAGCGACAGCTCGAGATTCACGACCGAACCGAGACCAACCTCACCAACCTGAGGAGAACCATCTACCTTACCATCATGTCCTCGCTCGACTTTGAAGAGAGCGTGCACAAGCTCCTCAAGCTCGAGATCCCCGAAGGTCAAGACATTGAGCTATGCAACATGATCGTAGAGTGCTGCTCCCAGGAGCGCACCTACAGCAAATTCTACGGCAACATGGGCGAGCGCTTCTGCAAGCTCCATCGCAAGTGGTCCGACAACTTCGAACAGAGCTTCCGCAACTACTACGACACCATCCATCGATACGAGACCAACCGTCTCCGCAACATCGCGCGCTTCTTCGGCCACCTCTACTCGACTGACAGCGTGAGCTGGGCCGCCTTCTCCGTCATCCACATGAACGAAGAGGACACCACCAGCAGCTCGAGAATCTTTGTCAAGATCCTCTTCCAAGAGATCCAGCAGCAGCTCAGCCTCAAGACGCTCGCCGAACGCTTCGGGGAGCCGAGCCTGCAGGAGCACTGGCAGGGGCTCTTCCCCAAGGACAATCCGAAGAACACTCGTTTCTCCATCAACTACTTCACCTCGATCGGCATGGGCGTGCTGACCGAGGACATGCGCGAGCACCTCAAGAACGCACCCAAGATCCTGCTCGCGCAAAGGCAGGCAGCGCTGGCGGCGAGGGGCTCCGATGACAGCGATACCGACTCCTCCAGTGTGCTCTCGAGCAGCACTGGCTCCCGCAGTCGCAGGTCATACTCGTCGCGCTCGTCAACATACTCTTCAAGATCTCGTTCTTCGCGGTCGCGGTCGCGCTCATACTCCTCGGGCTCCTACTCTTCGCGTTCGTACTCCTCGCGTTCCTACTCGTCCTATTCTGGCTCTTCTCGCAGTCGCAGTCGCAGTCGCAGTCGCAGCCGAAGACCTCGAGGCCGAAGCATCAGCCGAAGTCGATCGCGAAGCTTCACTCGGAGTCCATCGCGAAGCCGCAGCAGGACGCCTAGTCCCAGGCGGCGTCGCGGACGTAGCCGCACCCGCTCGGCATCCTACTCGTCCTACTCGTCCCGATCACGATCGTATTCGCGGTCGCGATCCAGGTCGTACTCGCGGTCGCTCTCGCGTTCACGATCGTACTCGCGATCCTTGTCGCGTTCTCGCTCTCGCTCGCGATCCGTCGACGCGCCACGAGACCGTCGCTACCGTTCCGCCTCGCGCTCGGCGCGATCGCACTCGGATACTGAAGACCGCGACCCGCGATCGCGACCTCTATCTCGCGGAAGACGCGACTCTTTCTCGTCTCCATCTCGCTCGCCGTCGCCCAGAGATCGACGCTAGGCGACGGAGACACGCAGCCGCGAATCTGTCTGTTGACGCTTTGTAATGTGCGCATGATCAAGGCGAGCGCCCTACGATTGGGAAATGGATGAAATTCTATTCCGAGCCGGTATATAAGCAAGCATGATGGCGGTTCGCCAAAGCCAAGACCGAGTGACGTACTTTTTGAGGAAAGAGGGGGAGCGAGAGTAGACATCACCAATTTGGGTGTTCCGGCTCGGCCTTGAGGTCCTCGTCTAGTGGCAGGCGGTACTGATGATTGTGTCACGAAGGCAAGGGGACAGACAAGACCTGATCAGTGTCATGCTGGCAACACGGGAGCTGCCACCTTCAAGCGAGGCAGGATGAGGCTGAATGCAACTTACAAGGCCTTCTTTTTCGATGTACTGGATGACGCTGTTCGGAAGGAGATACTTGATGGACTGGCCTCGACGGACAAACAGGCGCACCTTGGAGGAGGAGATGTCGTTGTAGATGGTCTGCTTGACGATCTTGAGATTTCGGCGGTACTTCCAGAGAAGGTCGTGCGAGAGGAGGAATGACCACACGTCTGCACCCGTTCGCTCTACGATCAAACAGCCGTACTGGCCCAGGATGTGGTGAAGATCGGCGGTCGCCCAGACGCCTGGCTCGCCCATGCTCTGGATGAGGTCGCCGCCAGCAAGCAGCATGATCTTGACGTTCTTTCGGCTGCCGTCGCTGAGGATGACGCCGCCATCCGTCGGTCCGTTGATCTCTTCGTGGAAGTGGTCCAGGACGACAGCTGTACGCTGGTACTCGTCTTGGAGCGACTCCCACGCATCCACCATGAGCCAGGTGGATGTCTTTTCAACGGCGAGCTCGCACATGCGCACACGGTGCGTTGCCTTTGCCAGACCCTCCTTCTTGTAGTAGTCCGATACGGGCGAGTAGTAGCCGGCGAGCAGCTCGTACTTGCCCGACTCCATGATCTGGTCCTTGGCCATCTCAAAGATACGCAGATGCAAGTAGGTGGGCGGAGAGAAACTGCCGCAAGCTACAATGACGAGCGGAGTTCTGGACTCGTCGCGCATCTTGGTGGGCAGGCGGTGGCGCGGGAAAGTGTAATCCTCCTTGGTCTGACCCTGCTGGGGTACGCGGCCGTCTCGGAGACGGATGTCTGGGCTGAGACCCTCGACGCCGTCCACCTCGTCATCACGTTCGGCGGCGGACGAACCTGCATCCTCCTGCGCATCGAGATCCTCCGAGAACTGCGAATAAGCTGGGCGATCTTCGGCGGACTGAGGCACCGGCGAGCTTCTGCTCTGGCTGGAATGACTGCTGTTGGTACGCTGTGTCCAGGCCGATGGGCCGCGGCTCGAATGAGCATCGCGATGGTTCGCCTCACCGGAGGCTTCCCAACCGTGTGGGCTGGGTCGTTTAGCCGCCTCGGAAGTGGCGGTGGAGGTGAGGCCGAGGACAGGCTTGTTGGGCGAGAGGGTTGCTAAACTGGCCGAGCTGGCCTCGCGAGATGAGAGCTTTTCGTCCAGATCCCACTGCGGTACGTCTCGATCGTACTGCGAGCTCGTGTGAGTGCGGCCGTCCGATTGGCTGTGCCCTGAGCTGGCACCATTGGCATCATCAGAGGTGGAGGAAGTCATGCCGCTCAGGAGCGACTGCCTTTCGGCCGTCGGTGTCTTGACGCTGGGATCGTGCGATTGCGGAGAGGCTGGCAAGACGCGAGATTGTGAATGCGAGCGTGTGTAGGGATCCTGGTCGTCGGCGGATGAGATGGACGTGGCCTTGGACAGCGGGCTGCTGCCGCCAGCGGTGCGTGACTGTCGGGTGGTGCGCTGCGGGCTGCCGGGTGGACGATTCGATGAGCCGGACGCTTCCGACGCGTGCGAAGACGGATCCGAGTCGTGGCTGGAGAGTCGCTGGCCGGCTTCATCGAGAGGACCAGCGCCTCCGACCGCCGCACCAGTGAAGGGCGGGCTGTCGAGGTGGAAGCTCTGCACCGACAGAGCGGCAAACTTGAGCGAAGAGGGGCCGCCCGGCCCGGCCTGCGAGTCGGTCATCCGGGGCATCGGAGCAGTGGGCTGGTTCGGAGCGCGGTTGGGATCCGAGCGGGTCGTCGAGAGTCGTCGCGAGCGAGCATCCGAGGCGGAACGCGGCGCAGCCACAGCAAGAGAAGAGACAAGCGGATCGGTACAGTCAGCATTGGCGCGTCTCGGATGCTGCCGACTGGGCAGGCCTGAGGCGAGGTCCAGCCAGCGTCGTGCTGCAGCTCGGATGCTGCCGACTGGGCAGGCCCGAGGCGAGGTCCAGCCAGCGTCGTGCTGCTGCTCGGGCAGAAGGAACTCACCGTTTGCCGCGACATGTTTTGCGAGAGAGCGTATCAGTGGGCGTTGCTGTCGAAGTTGAGCCGCAGCGGGGTGCGGAGATCCGTGTGAGACAGAGCAGCAGTCGTGTTGGGAATCCCTGTGTGAGGCTATACAAGAGGTCGATGAGCCGGCGACCGAGAACGATTGACGAGCGTCCGAGGAGAAGGTCGGGGTCTAATGGGGTTTCGAACCCGTGGCCAACAAGGTGAGAGGAGGTGAGGCGAAGGAGAGGAGGCAATGGTGTCGTCTGAAGGATCAAAGGTCGGAATGGATGGCCGAGGGTGAATGCTGCGCCGGAGCCATGGCATCGGAGGCCGCAGGCTAGCCTGCACGAAACAAGATGTGGCCCCGCCCATCCTTGGCTGGAGCGAGCCTCCGCTAAGCTGACCTCCCCCATCCATCCCCGAAGCCTTTCGGCGCCCTGCCGGTTTTCGGTCCTCTGCCGAACGTGCTTTTTGCAAGTGCTTGCAAGGCTCGCTCCGTCCTTTCATGTCTCCTGCCACTGTTTCCGTCCTCCACGCCGAGACATCTGATTCCCAGTTCCTGGTCGGCTTGCTGAATCGTGCATCTGGGCGATCCACGCTTCCCAAACACAGCGCGGAAAAAAAAGCCAGTCCGATCCCAGTGTTCAATGCCCGTCGTGTCAGAGCGGCTTTGTACAGGGCCGCCAAAGTCACACGGCGTTGCCAATCTTGGCCGATCCAGACCGGAAAGCCGCGCTTCTGCCGCTTGGTGTTCAGAGCGCATGAAAAAGCGGTAAAAAATAGAGAAAGGTGTGAGCACGACGGACCTCACAGCTTTGAAATCACGCGAAAATTCGACCCAGCCTCGTCGTGACTCGACTCGATGGCTTCTGAGCTAGCCATGCAGACTGTAGCTCAGGACCGACACGGCTTCGTTTGGACATCCCTGATCCATCATGCCCCGATCACGAACGCTTGCGGCTCGCAAGCAGTCCCAGCAGGCGGAATCGCAACGCGTGTCTAGACGGCAATTTGAGACCACAGTCAAAGTCAGAGATGGCGCGAGCTCGATTGGCAGACTTGATTCTCCAGCCTCAGGCAGGTGTTGGACGGTCACAGGCTGGCAGACACACTGCAACGGTGGCTGCTCGAGGTAAAATTTATGAGCACCTTGCCGCGCCAAGAATGGTATGGTGGCATGGTGGCCTACATCTTCTCGAACGCGAACCCAAGGTACAGGGTCGCTGCTTGCCACATGTCTTCGTTGACGTTCAACGTGCCGTAGTCGTCCACGACGCCCATCCTTTGCAGCAGCTTGCCATACTCGCCCTGTCGCGACCCTTCGTGATAGATCTCGGCGAAGTTTTTGCGGTAGATGCATCGCAGTCCCGCTTCGTACGCCAGCTCTTCAAACACGTCAAAGTCCACCACGTATTCGGGCACGTTCTCCACCGCATCCTCGAGGAAGAACGTGTATCGGTTGCCAAATGCTGGCCACGATTCCGTCTGATCGAACATGACCTTGTAGTATCGGTTGCCAAACGAGCGATCCTCCGGATGTCTGCTGGCCGCCATGCGGTCGCGCAGCTCGCGGCTGTCGGGGATGGTGCCGATGAACGTGCCCCCCTTTCGCAGGTAGCGTGCAACGTTGTCCAGCATGATCCGCGCCTTGTCTACGCTCTCCCATGCGTAGTGCATGCAGAACTGCAGCGTCACATTGTCAAACATGGGCTCCAGCAGCTCGAGCGGGATGACGTCGGCGAGCGACTTGGAAAAGCAGTCGAATGCAAAGAAGTCGCCGGGGAATCCTCGGTTGCTCTCCTGGTGGCGCGCGATGGCCTGCTCGATCGACACGGCGGCGATGTCGGCACCCACCAGACCACTCGGGCGCACCTTCTCCCACTTTTTGAGGTCGCCTCCCTTGCCGCATCCGAGGTCCAACACGCGTCCTCCGCGTGCTCGGGCGCGGCCGTCCAGATGAGGATCGCGTCCGCGCGCAAAGGTCCCGACGAGCACCGACTTGACCCAGTTGTTGAACTTGCGCAGAGCGATGATGGGCGACTCCTCGCGACCGTGGATTCCCACCTCCCTTCGCTTGTTATAGTGGTCCGCCACCTCTTCGGCATCCTCGAGGGTCTCTCCGATGGCCCGCTTCTTGGCTTCCACCGCGGGGCGGTCTCGACTGGCTGAATCGCCCCCCTTGCCCGACGAACGCTCGAGTTTGGACATAAAGTCGCGCAAGATCCCGTCCAGCGGTTCTCGACTGTCTGTCTGCTGCTGTCGTTCCCACTCGCGACGTAGAGGGTTTCGACATTGCGCGCGCTTGCGATCAATCTCTTCGATGCCGATCGGCCTCATGACCTGCCTCGGCTGCGAGACTCGCCGTGTTGGTGCATATCGAGGGAAAGGTTCGATGGCAGCGTGCAGGTCTGTCTCGCTGTCGACGGTCTCTTGGCCCTCTGGAGCACGCGCCGATGCAGGCTTCTCCGAGGCATCGTCACGAAGCTCGGACGGCGCAGAATGGTCTTGACCCTTAGCCAGCCTCGATTCTTCATTCTCTGATGCCATGTCATGGCGAGAAGATGGCCGAGCTGACGAGGGACCGTTAGCGTCACGACTTTCTACCTTCCAGTCAGCTTCCTCTGACTGCTCGTGATCCACTTTCTTCGAAGAAGAGACTGTGCTAGGATGCGAGGTTGCATGACTGTTACCGATAGCCGCTTTGGCGTCGTGTAGGTCATCGTGGCCCGGAACCGTTGAAGTGGGCGTGCGCCCGTTGCTGTCGTACCTGTGCTCCGGCTCCCTATGGTCATACGTAGGCTCCGGCTCCCTATGGTGGCGCCCATTCGACAACGAGCGCTCCCTGTCCTCTGCGATGCTCTGCCTGCGCGAATGCGGATGTGTGGCAGCATCGTCGTTCGAATGCATAGCAGCGTCGTAAATCGGTGCAGGATGTGCTGATGGGTACGCACTTGACCGGTCGCTCCCAGCTAGTCGCTCAGCCGCAAGCGGCGTCCGTCCAGCGGCATACGAAGCTTCGTGGTGGGAATTGCGATGGTGCACCTCGTCCATACGCGCGGATTGTGTCGCATGTTCGTGCTGACGCAGATGGGGACTCGTGAGGCTGGCCGTGGCCTCACCTGGCGATGCATGATGGAGCGATGATGCTCGTGGGTCGACCATGGGGAAGTAGTTGCTCTCCGCTTGCATCTCGACCGAGTGGCGCGGATAGGGGGCGTTTGGCGTGTGCGAAGGCACGGAACGTGAGCCAGGCGTGATTGGATAGCCGCCGAGGGAGGCAACGCTTCCTGGCGTGGTAGGAATACCGTTTCCGGGTGTGGGAGGCTGATGTCGGTGGATGGCATGCCCTGGGCCTGCTAGGCTTCCTCGTCGTGGAGATGCGCTCATCAAGGGCGGAGGCATGCCGGCAGGAGAGGCTTCGTTATCGTCAGGATGCCATGCCTGCGCAGGCCCGGGCACGAGAGACGTGCGTGGATGAGGGTTATGCAGGGCGGTGGGCGATTGGGGCAAGGGCACGCGCCTGGTCTCGGGCGAGCGAGAGTAGGGGAGCTCGGGCACGGCGAAACGATGCGATGGCGATGGCTGCAGATGCGCATGTACGTTCGAGGCTGGACTCGATGAAGCGCTGGCGTGAGCGTACGAGTTGGACGCCGAACGCGGCAGGTGGCCATGGCCGACGGAGCCCGAGTGCGATGCAAAACGAGCTCTTTCGGCAGGATGGCCGAATTGCGAGGATGCGAGCCCGGGACTGGAGCCGCCTCGGTTGAGAGTGGATAAGCTCTGTGGGTGTGCACCGGGTGGATAAATACTCGATGGCGAGCCTCCTCGGTATGGTCCGGCGCTGCTAGCAAGCGACTGGTTACCAAGGGACTTGTCGCGGCCATGCGGACCCGTGGTGGAGGCTGGATAATGGGAAGATGGCGGGCCCAGGGGCGAGATCTGGCTTGCGTGAGGCGGGGCGGGATGCGAGACGTGAGAGGCTATGGAAGAGTGCGAGCTCGACCTTGGCCTATCGTGAAGTGCGCCGGCGGTGCCGTCGTTGAGCAGATGCGCCATGCTTGGGCTGCGCTCGGATCGATCCGGCTGGCGTGGGTGATGCGGGGAGATGCGCGAATGCGACGAGCTTGGGTGGTCGTGCGTCGAAGTGGCGTGGAAGCCGCCGGATGCGCTGCTGGACCTACTCATACCATGACCAGCCGAGGTGTCGTCGGCGTGACGCTGGGGCCATCTGTGTGCTTCGCGATGCCTGTCGTGCTCGGCGTCGGACATTTCGCTGACAGCGATGAGGTCGGCGATGGAAGCGCTACGGCGAGGCGGAGGCTGCGGTGGTGACTCGGCATGATGCGCTTGATGGTGGTACTGGTCATGACGCGGCGGTCCATAGTCGGCAGCGGAAGGAGGATACGGGGTGAACGAGGAGCGAGGAGACACCGTGGCGGGGCCGGAGATGATATCGTGGACGCTTGGTCGACGAAATCGGGTCTCGTCGTCAGCACATCCGTCGTAGCGGCCGAGGCTGTTGCCAGACAGACTACGCGGAGGTGCCGACGTGTCGTCGTAGTGCGAATGCGAGTGATGCGGGTAGGCCGATGCAGAGGATGACGGACGAGAGTCGTTGCCGAAGTGATGGTGAGGCGGTGGAGGCGAGGACCGATCCGACCCGCCGGCGTCGCGGACGGGATCGTATCCGGGCATCTGGACGGCTTATATCACGCCTACTCTGTCTGTCGCGCAGATTGGCGAGAGGCAGGGGAAAGGCACGGGAGGGCGACGTTCGAACGGAGGCGGAGCAGGTACCGCGTTCGAGTTCAAAACAAGATCAGGTATGCGCCATGCTGAGGGACATGGATGGCCTGCGGAGGAGACGCTGGGCGTCGGTGCGGAAGCGTGGATGCTTGCCGTAGGGTTCTTACTTAGTCGACATGGCCTGGTCGAGCCAACGTTGCTGATGCTGGGGAGGCGAGGATGTTGAAGATGGTGGTGAGCAATCGAGGTTTGGATGCAGGGCCTGGCAGACCTGCAAAAGTGCGCTCTCGACTCGACGCGCCCCTCGGAGCCGATGCGAAAAATTCACAGATTGTCGAGTCGTAGCGTCACAACAGCTTTTTGACATTTTTCCAATATCCGAGAAGAAGCCCGCAAGCCTTTTTTTTCTTTCTTCCGAGCCCAATAGACCGGAACTCGGACATGGTGCTGAGCACGGAAGAGCCGCTCCACCTTCCCCGTGCCTCTCTCAACCTTGTAACGGCACCCGGAGCACCATCTCGTCGTCGTCAAGCAAAGCGGAGCGAGGGCTACAGGTCAGCAGAGGGCGAGCCAAAACACAGTAGCCGAGCTTGAGCTGTGCAGCAAGACGGATCGATCGATACTTGCCATGTCTGCGCTGCCCTTCGCCGCAGCTCGTGGTGGCCCATCGTTGGTGGGCCGTCGCTTGCTTTCGAGCCGGGTCCCTGCAGCTCTGGCCAGGCTTCCAAGATCGCTCCTCGATCCAACAAGGTCAACCAGACTCGTCTTCGTCTCATCCACGAGCGCTACAATCGCCGTCCGCGCCCTCCACGCATCCTCTGCCTCGCTCAAAAAGCAGGAGAGACGCAAAGACGCAGATGCCAAAGAGTTCTCTCATACGCTACAATTGCCAAGCACTCCGTTCGGAATCCGCGCAAATGCTGCTCAGCGCGACCATCTCTTCTATGACAGAACGTGTGGCGAGCTCTACGCATGGCAGAGGGCCAGGCTCGACTCGACTGGCGATTTCGTCTTCCACGATGGTCCGCCATATGCCAACGGTCACCTCCACTGCGGACACGCTCTCAACAAGATCCTCAAAGACATCACAAATAGATACCAAGTGCTCCGCCGAAAGCGCGTCCACTTTATGCCAGGCTGGGACTGCCACGGCCTCCCCATCGAGGCCAAGGCGCTCGCCAACGTCAGTCCCCAAGAAAGACCAAACTGGACGCCAAAGGACATTCGCACACGCGCACGTCAGGAGGCGATCAAAGCCATCGAGACGCAGAAGCAAGAATTCCGCACATTCGGCATCATGGCCGATTGGAGCAACACCTCCACCTACAGGACGCTCGACCCCGCCTACGAAGCGCGTCAGCTCCGCGTCTTTGGCGAAATGGTGCGCAAAGGTCTCATCTATCGCCAGTATCGCCCCGTATACTGGTCACCCTCCAATCGCACAGCACTCGCAGAGTCGGAGCTCGAATACCGCGACGACCACACCAGCAAGGCCGTCTATGTCGCCTTTGATCTCATCGCCGGCCCCACGCTTCTCGAAAAGCTGGGTCCGCACGCCGATCACGCCCGTCAGCTCAAGCCGATCATTTGGACCACAACGCCATGGTCGCTCCCTTCCAACATGGCCATCAATGTCAATCCTGACCTCGAGTACAGCATCGTTCGTCGGACCGACAGTCAAGGACCCTGCTACCTCATCGGTTCCGACAGGATCGAAGCGTTGGAATCTCTTCCAGTCGACCACTCGCCCGATCATGACGGCGACTCGCAGCCTTTCGGGCCAGTGGAGGAAGTCGCTCGCATCCGAGGCACAGATCTTGCCGACAGCACCTATCGATCGCCCCTCTCTTCATCCGATTCCGCCGCTCGACCGATCCTCATGGCTGACTACGTGACGGCACTTTCGGGCACGGGCCTCGTCCATTCAGCTCCAGCCCACGGCGCAGAGGACTACCAGATCTGGAAACAACAGGGTCGACTGCAGACAGATGGCATCTTCTCCCCTGTCAATGATGAAGGCTGCTACTCTGCCGAAATCCTGCAGCTGGATGCCTCCGAGTCGTCAGAGTCGAGAGGTGACACCTCCATTGGGCGGCGGTTGATGGGCAAGGAGGTGCTCGGCGAAGGTGCTCAGGAGATCATCGGCATCCTCAAGGAACGGGATGCGCTCGTGTGTGCTCACACGCTGCGCCACAAGTACCCATGCGACTGGAGATCCAAGCAGCCCGTAATCGTGCGAGCCACGGCGCAATGGTTCGCCAATCTGGACCGCATCAAGCAGCAGGCCATCGATGCGTTGCGCGACGTCGTATTCGTCCCTGCCAACTCGCGTGCGCGACTCGAGGCCTTCATCACGGGACGCTCGGAATGGTGCATCTCACGCCAACGCGTCTGGGGTGTGCCCATCCCGGTCCTGTACGATGTCGCCACCGACGAGCCGCTGATGACGGTGGAAAACATCGAGCACATCGCGTCGGTGCTCGAAAGCAAGGGAACCGACTACTGGTGGCAGGCGGATGCCCAGGAATTCGTTGCTCCTCAGTATCGCGACGAAAAGCGATCCTGGCGCAAGGGCGAGGACACGGTGGATGTTTGGTTCGACAGCGGCACATCATGGGCCACCTTGAAGGATGAGCTCGCGCTGCAATCCCTGGAAAAGAGCTCATCGGGCCCATCCAGCATCGCCGACGTCTACCTGGAAGGCTCAGACCAGCATCGTGGCTGGTTTCAGTCGTCGCTCATCACAGCCGTTGCCACGACGCCCGAGGGACAAACGCCCGTTGCGCCGTACAAGACGGTGGTCACGCACGGATACGTGCTGGACAACGAGAGCCGCAAGATGAGCAAGAGTCTCGGCAACGTCGTCTCGCCCTTGACCATCATCAAAGGCGGCAAGGGCGCCAGTCAGCCGGCCTACGGCATTGATGTGCTGCGACTGTGGGTGGCGCGAAGCGACTATACCACGGATCCACCCATCGGCGACACGATCATCGCAAAGACGGCCGAGACGCTGCGGAAGCTACGAAACACGTCGCGATTCATGCTGGCGAATCTGCCATCGGGGCAGACGGTTGCCCCGCTGGAGAGATCGCAGATGAGACTGGTAAGAATGCGCATGCTAGCGGCGAACACCCAATCTTTCACACAGTCCTGCTGACCTCTGATATTCATGCTTGATCCTTGAACAGCTCGACCGGTTCGTGATGCACGAACTGTACTCGCTGGAGCGAGCGTGCGCTGCAGCGTACGAAGCGTATGACTTTGCGCAGGTGGTGAGGCGGCTCACGGAATTCGCCAATGCGATCTTGTCGAACCTGTATCTGGATGTGGGCAAGGACTGCCTGTATCTGGATGCGGTGGACGACCCACGCCGTCAGACCATGGTGAGCGTGATTGACGCCATTCTGCGAACCATGACGGGGATCATGGCTCCGATCACGCCGTTCCTGAGCGAAGAAATCCATCACTTCCGCAACGGTGCAAGCAGCGATCCTGTGAAGGACAGCAAGGAGGCTCCCTCGGTCTTTGCAGCCGGTTGGCCGACGCTGGTAAGTGCTAAAAAGCTTTGGAATGCACGTGCTTTCATCGAGAACGCAAACTCACCCTCGTCTGGGACCTCTTTCGGCCCGCTCTGATTGACAGGACGCTCAATGGAACGACACGACTACGGCCGGCCATTGCCATGAGCTGCTGAAGCTGCGCGATACCAGCCTGGTCATGATCGAAGAGGCGCGACAAAGTGCGGGCATCAAGACCTCGTTTGAAGTCGAGATCGATCTGATCGTTACCGAGGATCAGTCGCAGGTCTCGACGATCTTGCAAGCTCACGGTGAGATGCTGCGTTGCCACCTATTTATGCCGTTACGAAAAAGTACTGATACCATCGCCTCCTGCACCTTTGCCATCCTGTCAGAGTCGGAACTCACCGAGCTTTTCAATGTGGCCCGAGTGAACCTGCTGCGCCAAGGTTGTGCCGGAGAGGCCGACGCTGAGGCAGCCCTTCTTTCACGCACTCTGGACTCGGGCGTATCGATGCGACTGTGCCGCTCGTCGCGCCACCGATGTCCGCGCTGTCGGACCATGCGCAGGGGAGCCGAGAGCGAGCGTCTCTGCGGTCGTTGCCAGGCGGTTGTTGATACGCTCTCAATCTGAATCACCCCGTGTATGGATGCCGTGCTCTCGTGTCCAAGTGATGTTCTGGCGCCATCATCGAGTTCGACCATTCCAACCTGTTCACCGGGCCGGTATGGAAAGGGCTCGAGTACATGACAGGACCAAGCTCGCTCGCCCAGATCTGCGCCGAGCATGCCGACCGAGCCCAGGATCCCCGCGATCGACCTCAGGCAGGTGCTTCACTACCTCCATCTCTTCTGTACAGAGCAACCGGATCTGAATTGGACCGAAGAGACATCTACGAGACCGCCATGGAATCCTCGGCTCGACAGAGGCGTCGATGGCTTCCGCATTGATACTGCCGTTCTGTAGTACACGCCGATGGACTTGCCGGACGGCCCCGTCGCCGACGTGGGGGCGGGCCGAACCTCAGTATTCTCCCTCTGATTCGACTGCCATTCCACAGAGGTTTACTGTTCCTTAGCCGCGCTGTAATTTCCTGCCTTGTCCCCTTCGAGTCATGAACAGCGCGGTTCCCTCTCTCTAGCGAGCGACCTTGCGAGGCTGCTTGATCAATTGCGTAGAACACGCCCGACAATGCCGAGATGGCGTGGGATTCGCTTATGCGCGCTCGGCATCAACCGTCGGGCTAGGGTCCTTTCCCGCCGGATTTGATTTGGATCGTACGCGGATGCCTGGCAGCACTCTCCACATCTCGTGCTCGAATGTAGCCCCTTCCCCGCCCCTGCCTTTTGCCCTAGCGCGGCCCGCCGGCTTCCGCTTCGGACGATCTCGTTGGTCTTCACGGAAGCCGAGCTAATTGCTAGTGGGAGAGGAGGTAGCGATATATACGCCACAAATGCTGTCGAATGCGATGGAATGCCTGCACTCACTCTGTCATTCGCAGCATGAGCTCCTCGGCTGTTCTGACCGGGATCGACAGTACTTGGTGAGCTTAGAGATCGGGCAGCACTGTACAATTGCCACGGTTGCGGCAGCGTCGATGCTCTACGTTAGTGTGACCGGCAATCTCTCTACAGCCTTGCTTTCCCCCTACCACCACTCCTCGTTGATCCTGCCGGGCCATCCGTCCAACTACCACGGCATACAAGCACCCATCCACGGTGCATCAAGCCCTAGCCTGGTCACTGGTCTCGCTATTCCAGGTTTCCGGACGAAGGCGAGCCGCAAATTGGATCGTGTCATGCGCAGCGTCCCAGTTGCGTCTTTCGGCACCCCGGCCTTGTCCCTACACAGTCATTGCGAACGGCCGCAGAGAATAATCTTTGCACGGACACGGTCCGAAAACGACATACGGCGTGAGAGCTCCTCGGTCAGCTTCGAGATACTCAGCTTGGAGCCTCGATACCGTCGACGACAGATCGCCGCAGGAAGACCGTCTCTCTCAGCATTTTCCGCGCATCCTAGATCAGAGTGACTTTCGCTGAAGCTTCGAGCAACCTAGACAGTCACGTTCGGAAACCTCAGAGGGCCTCAGAGGGCAAAGTGGCAGCTACGCAAGCATAAATACTGCACACCATGGCGTCACAACGCCCCGCTCGTGCTACTCACAGCTCAACTACAACGATCCGGGGAGAGTCGAATCCCTACCTGCCTCTTGCGACCAACGAAGACGTCACAAGCAACGGAATTCGACTCATGAACGAGGTCCCTAACCCACTTGACTGCACGCCAAGCAAGTCTTTCCTCGAACGTGTCGAACACAGTCAGGTAGCGACCCGAGTTTTTTGGTTCTTTGTTGGCCTTTGGAGCGGCGCAATTGTTACTTGCGTCGTAATTGTTCCGATCCTTCGAGCGTGAAGCATCTCCTTCTCGTCGCCAGCTTCTTGGCAGCTATCAGTGGAGCTTTCGCTCTGTGGGCAGCCTCGCTGCTATGGTTCAGCTTCGGCAACATCACTGGAGGTATCATCTCGATCGTGGCCAATTGTCCGTCGGGCAAAGCCTGCGCGGTCGGTGCAATTCAATTCACCATGGGCGTCATCGGAGCTATCGCTGGTGTCGTTGGAGTCACCTATCATCCTTTCAAGCGCGATTCCTCCGGTACTGCTGTGTACCACCTCTATGAAGATTCCAGGTGGTCTGCCCGCCGCCTCAAGCGAAACGAAGACCTCGTTGCGACACTGCGCCAACACGATGCTGCCGATCCTGCAAGGATTGTATTTCACCGTCGAGATGGAAGCAGCACGCACGGTTAGTATCATTTCAACCCCGAGACTCGCAGGCACCACGCCATCGGGGATTTCGGGCTTTCGCCGGCTATTGCTGAGCGCGAAGTTGTTGGCGGAAACACTGGGTACGCCGCCGCCATTCACGACGATGACACGGGCACCTACGCAAACGTGGCTCACTCGAAGGGCGACACCAACGAATGGGCCTCACTGGCTTTCGACCAACTACAGCAGGCCGGCGCCGACTCCCTTTGCATGGGCATGATCGATCCTGACAACGGCGAGGACGTCGCGGTGGTTCGGCTGCAGCCTGCAACCAACGGCGATTATGGAGGACTCGACACTGACGCGTTCAACGGGCACGGGTTCCGAAAGAGAGACTCCCAGAGGTCGACGGGGATCATCTGCCAAGAAGTATGCACCGTAGTCTCTGGACCGAAAGCTGCTTGCCTCAATGCGGAAGGCGGCTGCTCTTACGTGAATGGAGGTTGCAACCCCAATCTTGACCAACCAGCGCGAGCTTGCGATGGCGTCATCTGCGGTGAAGAGCGTCAATGCGATTGATCACCATCGATAGTCTGCAGATTCAAACCTGCCTCGGTCGCTCGGACTCTGCCGACCAGATGCAACTCTGCTCGCAGCGAGCCTCGCTCTCCCGATCCCGGAGCGCAATCTTACGGACTTAGGCGGCCGGCTGGAGTTGTGTACCGTAGGTCTGATCACCCTAGACGGACCCGTCTCTGGAGATAAGCTTCTAGCAAGAAGGTTCTCTGCACGGTTGAAGACCGCGCACACGGAGATGCACTCCATGGCTGAAGAAGGCTTTGCTTTGATCTTAACTTACATCCGTGGCACACTGGCAAGCTGACGACCGGTACGGGCGCGGCGGCAGTCCGTCTTCTTTCGAGCCGAGAGCTCGCACCGGAACGGGCGAGACACGATGACACTGGCGTGACTGGTGACATTGTCCAGGTGAAGCGCAGACACGCCTACGCCACTTGGCATGACTTTACTACAAACGCTGCAGCAGTCAGAGCCGATAGGGTACAAGTGTCAATTCCATCCTTTGTGACTTGGTGAAGCGGAGGCAGGCTTAGTTGAAAGATGCGCCTGGCACGGAGAGATCGAGCTCGTCGTTGAGGAATGAGCGTGCCCAAGCGAAGAGCTCGGGGTCGTTGGCGAGGAAGCTCCACTGCGGATGACCTGGCTCGACACCTGGAGCGGTTGCATACTGGAAAGGGTCAACTGCTACTGCGCCTGCGCCGCTTGATGGCGTCGGCACGCCAGGCGGGAGTGCAAAGTGCGAGGAGGGTGTTGTTGGGCCCGGCACGACGGGTGGGACGCCTTGTGCATGCGGGCTCGCCGAGATTCGAGGGAAGAGTCCGGCGTCGGAGCCTGGCGTCGCCGTATAGATGGTGCGTGGCGAGCTGAGGGGATGCGAAATGCCTGAATGGGCCCGCTGAAGTGAGGGTGCATGTGCCGCGCGATTGGTAGGCTCACCAGGCGACATGCCGGGAGAGAGGCGGTATCGGTGTGGCAGACGGGCGGTGCTGTCGTCGTTTGCCTGGCCGGCCTCTGCTTCGCATCGCCGACCCGAGTGGCCATAAGCCTCGTTGTTGCGATTTGTCATCTGAGTCGCGTTGTTGCTGGCTGTGCTTTGGCGCTGCGGAGCGCTGTTGCTCTCCATGTCGAGGAGGCGATCGATGTACCTCGCATAGGAGAGACTCGAGCCATTCTGATGCGGCGTCCAGTTGCCTCCTTTGCGTAGGTATTCGGAAACGCGGGTCACGAGCTGGATGATCTTGGACGAATTGATGAAGGTGTACGTCGCAGCCAGTTTGGTCAGCTTGAGCGCAATCACAACGGCGTAGGTAGCGGTGACGCAGATGGAGTTGTAAGAGTGCGCGAGACGCTGCGGTGATGTGCGATCGATAAAGTCTTCGAGATAGCGGATGGAGACCGAGTGCAGATCGGAGACGATGCGCGTGGCCATCGAAGGAGGCAGGGTCGGCCATTGCAAAGGGAGCGAGAGGAGCTGCATGCGTGCATAGCAGATGTAAAGAGAGCCCAGCTCGAATCGGAGCGGACGCGGATGGCTGGCCGAGCGTGAGGGGTTGACCACCCAACGTTCTTCCCACGACGAGAGGTCGCGATGGCATCGATCAAGGTAGTGTCGAATCCACGACGAGTCGGCCTCGTTTGAGCCTGGTGTGCTGCTTCCCGAGCCGGGGGCGGCGGTGCACCCGTTGGACGCAGGGCCGGATCGGTTGCTTAGCATTCGGAAGAGCTCCTTGTTCTGAGCAAGTTGAGAGCGGAGCTCGATGAGCGCGACAAAGACGACGTCGGTGTGAAGTGCTTCTGGATGGAGGTGCCAGCCGCGCGACGACTCGACGATGGGATCCTTGGACAGAAGCGAGACGCGGCCGGTGTATTGGGAGGACGAGGCTTCATGCAGCCAGATGTGCATCCATGCCCTCTCGCGGTTGCGCTGATGCCAGGTCTCGTGTTGCTTGGCAGCGTCGGTCTCGGATGCAGAGCCAGCCGAGCCCGAGGATGGGGTGGGAGCCGACGAAGCTTGGTTGGAGGTTTGGTGTTGCTGCGATGTCGAGAGCGCCCGGGAGTGCATGTCGAGGTCGGTCGCGACGCGGATGGCGTGTCCGAGCAAGGTCCAGGAGCGATCTTCGGACGGATTCTGGGCGGGGCGGAGGTAGGCAGCAAGCATGAGGAAGCCCTGGACGATCTCGACGGAGCGCAGATTCTGGCAATAGATGGCTGGGAGGAGCACGTTGTCGATGTGGAGCTTGAGGTCGTGCATGATGCGCGGTGCGTCAGGAAAGGCGCTGACGGTGGAAGCGAGCCAGCACATGGTGGTGAAGAGGAGGCAGGAGTGCGAGCGGATGTAGTCGTAGGTGTGGATGCGAGGATCAAAGAAGGAGAGCAGGGCCTCGAGCTTGACCATGAAGGTATTGAAGAGCGTCTGGCTGGTCTCGAGGTCCATGATGCCCGCGGCCACGGGGTCCCACTCGTCGCGCACATCGGGACGCACGATGTGCAGGTTGGAGAGGAGCTGTGCCGATTTGCCGTACGATGCATTGCTGAAGAGGGTCGTGGGTGATTCTTGGGGGAGGATGGGTCTTTCTGGGGGCAGCGGCTCGGAGACATCCATGGAAGCCGGGTCGGAGCTGGACTTGTCTTCGGCAAGTGCGCCGAGGTTGGCCTGCTGCTGGAAGCGGGCGAGTTTCGCTTTGGCCTTTTTGAGACGCTGGTATTCGGGACGGATGCAGGTGAGACCGTGGTCGAGGCATCGCTTGCATTGTTCCGGATGGTCAGAGATGCACTTGACCTTGCTGTTGCGGCACGCGACGCATGCGAGGAGCTTGGATGGATAGGGTGTCCCGGCTGCGTGGGCGGACGTGCTCGCGGTTACGTCCGAGCCGTTGAGGCCACTCGACGAAGAGGGCGAGTGCTTGATCTTGGGCGCTTTCATTGTTTCCGAGACGGCGCTGCGCAGCTGGAGAGTCGAGCGTCGAAGGTGAAGCCTGGATGACGGTGCAACGCGGTGCAACGCGGTGCAACGCGGTGCAATGCTGTGCGGTGCAGTGCAAGAAGCGGGCCGAAGCTTGGCTGCCGATGCGCAAGACTTTGAAGATGAAGTTGGGTATCGAGCGACGAGCGGGCGGAGGTTGGCGAGAACACAAGGTGATCGGATGAGGCGCTACCGTCGTGAAAGCGTGGATGGGAACATGCCGGTGACCTAGAGATGCGCACTGCTGCCGGAATCAGAGGATGCTGGTGAAGCGTCACCAGGATGTGTGTGGCAAGACGCAAAGAAGGAGGAAGCCGTCGTAGGCGCAGACATCAGCCGCGCTCGGCTCAAGTTCGGAGGAGCGCGTCCGAAAGGGTGGAGGCAGCTCAAAAAGCTCAACGCGCCGGCCGAAGCTCCCACGTTGTGCCGCCGCGCTCGGCCCCGCGCACATGCGTTTCCCCGGACTTTCTTTCTCGCCAGGCTGACTTACCGGGATCCAACGAGGTCCGAAGACTTCTTTTTCGCACCGACAAAACGCGGACGCGTGAACTTTAATGCCTGTCAAAAAATCAAACACAAAAATTGGACCGGATTCAGAATCTTGAAGGATGAAACTTTAGACTTAGATCATTAGTCTGTTAGAGTACGCCTAGCCCTAGCCCTAGGCGGCGGCGCATCGCTCGGTGGCGACGGGCGATTCCTTCCTGCCAAACGGTGGGCGGCTCCAGCTGTCCGTCGGTCCAAAGGACAGGCAAATTTACACTGCTCCAGTGCCGCAACGGACAATGTCAATTTTTGGGTGGAGGGACGGGCGATGGGCAAGGGACGCGTCAAAATTGCAAGGAAATTGGCTGGGCAACGGACAAAGTGGAGGACAGGTCCAGTGCCCGACGGACAAATCCAACTTTGACACTGGTGCTGTGCCCAAGGTACACACAGCTTCCCGTCAGTCCGTTGGTCCGTCAGTCTGTCGGTCTGTCAGTCTGTCGGTCCGTCAGTCTGTCGGTCCGTCAGTCTGTCAGTCCATCAGTCTGTCGGTCCGTCAGTCTGTCGGTCTGTCACTTACCCATCAGTCACTTGCCAGGCGGTCCACAATTTTCACCGCCTGTCAGACCACCTTCCCGTCCACAATTTTGTCAGTGCGTCAGCTTCTCACTGCGTCAACTTTTCTGCCCATTGGCTAGCTCCCCTTCTTTTCAACCGCGCCGGACTGAATCCCTTTCAACTGCGCCGGACTGAATCCCTTTGTCTGCCATCGCACAATGCTTTGCCAACACCATCTCCCTTTGTCTCTGAGTAGCGCGCGGA